GATCTTGGCCAGCTGGCAAGATGCCCACATGGCACGGCAGACCTGTCCTGTCTCGCCCCTTGCTCCCCTCAGCAGTGTATTTCGTCAGTCTGCTCTCTCTGGTGAATCCGCTCACCCTCCCACGCATCTGGCCTGCACCCCCGTTCTTGTATAAATAAATAAATAAATAAATAAATAAATAAATAAATAAATCTTAAAAAAAAAACCTCAGTTCTACTTGAGTAATTTTGATCAGACATGAGTTTTGAATTTTGTCCAAGATTTTTAGTGTCTTGGGGGTAATTAGATGATGTTTTCCCAGATCTGTAAATATATATAGATATTTATGGATTTTCAAATATTGAACCAGCTTCGCATGCCTGGAATGAATTCTACTTGGTCACGGTGAAATAGTTTCTTAATGTCCTGAATTCTACTTGCTAGTATTTTACTTGTGCTTTTGCCATCTTTTATTTTCAATCATTCTGAATCTTTGTTTTAATCATGTGTCTTCTAGACAGCCTATAATTGGAAATTGTTTTTTTCTGTATTAAATCTGAGTCTTTTTTCTATATTTGTGTGTTTTACCCATTTACAATTATTACAGTGACTGTATGTTAACATTACCTTTTGCTGTCTTATTTCATGTGTAGTTGTATTGGATGTTCTTTGTACTTCTATTCTTTCTCTGAATACTGTGCCACTTTAAAAGTTAAGTACTATATTTTTGTTATTACAGTGTTCACTCAAGATAAAGTCTATAACTATGAATATTTACTCTTAGTAAATTTAGAAATATCATACCTTCCTGGCCTCCTTCTAGAAAGGTGGCCGTGATGCCCCCCGCCCCAGATGGCCGTGCACCCCAAGTGTCTTAGCGTCACCTCTGCTCAAGTAACGACTTCTGAAAACGACAATAGAAAGGATGGAGTTATCATGCTTGATTAGAAAGACTAGAAAAAAGTGGAATGTGCTTCAATTTAAATGTAGCAAAACGTACAAGATGGGTCGCCGGCAGGTCTGTGTGATTTTCCCAGGCACATGAGGCGTGTCAGCTGCGGGGCCAGGCAGAGGTCCGCTGGAACATGTTTTGTCCTGAACTTGATTTAATCTCTTTCGACCAGAAGCAAAGATATTGCAAGGACTGCTGCTGCTGTGTGCACAAACACACACACACACGCCTTCTCGCTGCCCCACTTGATCCTTATCTTGACCTTGACCTTGATCCTTATTTTGACCTATGACAAAAGTGGTGCTGCTGTTACAAACTGCACATTGGGTCATGCACAACTCTCAGGGGTTGTTTGTATTTTTAAGAAAATAATTACAGCCACTACGTAGTTTGAGGTAGGGGAGCTACTTGAAGGGCATTTAATTGTGCTACAAAAGATGCAGAGAGAACCCCAAGAGCTTGTATTACATGTGTTCGCTGTGCTTGTCAGGTGGAATGTGGGATACACGTATCTCCTTGCAGTCTCCAGACAGGAAAATCAAACTCTGACTCCAACAAAAGTCTGTGAAAGGAGAGAATTTTAAATCTTCAATGTAAACCCTGGTGTGAAAATATAGAGCGTGGTATGTAAAAGGCCGGATATCTTTAATTTCATTTAAAAAGAAAAAATACAATTCAAAAGGACAGAAGATAAAACTTCCAATTGGGGCAAGATAAAAAGTGAAAATACGCGGGTTGTCACGCTCTAGGAATGGCTCGGAGGTGACTGCTCAGCTGGGACTCGTCAGCACAGGTGGGCTAGGTGGCGGGACCGGGAGGGCAGAAGGTGGCGCCATGTGCGCCACATGGTACTTTGGGAGACTGACCCCTGACCTGGCCCGCGGCCGCCCCGGCCCCCATCTGAGGAGTGGCCTTTGCACCCGGCACAGCGACTCCTGGGCGCTGGCCCTGTGGACATACTCCCCAGGTGCATTCCAAACCTGGTGGCATTTCTACCAGTCCTTTGATTTTCATCATTGAATCTTTTCTACTAAATAGCATTATTTTTCACCACAGAAATGTTTCCTTGTTCCCCATCTCGCCTTTGTGAGCAAAACAATGAAACCACTGAGCAAGCACGAGGTGTTCCCTGCAGTTTGTCCTCGGGGTGCTCTCCACCCGCCTGAGCAGAGTGTAAATGCGCTTCAGGTCATCCCTAAAGCCGCGCCAGCGAGCTCGGCACAGCTGCTCGTGCTGACTTTCCGCGTGAAGCGTTCGCCACCCAGCAGCCGCGAGCCTCCGAAGCGCGGGCATAGGCGAGTCCTCAGGCCTGGTCAGTGTCCTGAGGCACCATGTGGCGCGGCCGGAGCCACCTCCTGGCCGCCCAGGTCCCACCACCCAGCCGGGGGATCAACAACCGAGATTCCGAGGGGCGTCTCCGCGTGGGGGGGGCAGGGCCCAGGAAACACAGGCGCCTCAAGGGTTCATGGGCTGAGGCCAGAGGACCCCTTTATAACAGGGGTCCCAGCCACGGAACTACCTTTGAGCCCGAGAGTAACTGAGCTGATAAAGCGAGCACTAGGAGAACCCGCGAGCCCGTGCCCCGGAAGTCCAGGCCGCGGCAGAGACGGGGTAGAGGGCGGACTGGAAACCGCTGCCACCTGCCTCCCGGGAGCCGGCTCTGCCCGGTGCACAGGCCCTGCTAGGCCGGGTGGGGCTGAAGGAACAAAGAACTGGCCACCACCGGTTCTGAGAGAAAAACTTCTTTGAAAAGCAACTTCCACTCCTCCTCCTCCAGCTCCCTCCCAGGCCAGACCCGCCCTGTGAAAGCTGCCCTCGTCACCCCCATGGGCACGACTTCTCCGACTTCTCCTGGTCGGCAAACCTCACCTGGGAGCCCAACAAATTTCCCGCCCGTGAGAAACTTAGCCTGGCTCTGCTTTTCCTTTCCACGCTGATCCTTTCATCAAGCTTGAAAGGGAAAAAAATCCAAAATAATTTATGACACCTGAAATAGCTGCCGAGCCTCACTTTTAAAATCAGGCGGAAGGGGTGGTTGTTGAGCCACCTGCTGCCTCGGCAGGTGCTTCTGCAGGGGCGAGCCCAGCCCGGCACACGTTCCCCTGACGGCCAAGGCACCGGAGGAGGCCCGGCAGTGGCGGGGCAGGCAGCCTCTGCCTCCCTCTGACCTTCCGTTGCCGCTCTGGGGCTTCCGGGGGCTCTTCAGGACCAGAGATGGACTGTGTGCCTGCTGCTGGCTCGGGGACGCCTCTGGAATTCCAGGGGTGTCAGCCTTGGCCTGAGGAGCTCTCATGTCAAGGATGTCGGGTGGCTAATCCTCAGGCAGCTTTTCTGGCTGCTGTGGCCGCCAGCACAGATGAACCCAGGGCCCCGGGAGGCCCAGACCCAGAGCTGTGGTGAGGGGCTAGGGCACACTCTGGATCAGCCCCCTCGCACCCCCTCGGCCCCCACGGGCTCCTGGGGTACACTCCCAGGGGCTCAGGCTTTGCTGAGTGTCCTGGGCCTCAGTGTCCACTTCTCTTCTGGCACATGCAGAGGAAAGGATCGCTGGCGGCATCAGGGGTCAGGCCTCAGAGGTGACAGCTGGGCGAGCCGTTCACACCCCGCAGAGGCTCTGGCCTCACTGCGCTGGCCGCCAGGCACATCTGAGAACCTCAGGTGAAGTCGAAAGGCTGGAGGAAGTGCTGCACCCCTGCGGCGCCCGTGCCCGGGTGGCATGCGGAGGGGGAGCCAGGCAGCGTCACAGCCTCTGCCAACTGCGGCAGGGGACGATTTCGAAACAAAAGGCCGCTGATTTCTCCACCGTCCCTCCCAGGGCCGTTCTGGCAGGTGGGGGCCGGGCGCCCGCGGGCAGGTCGCTCCGTCTGAACTTGCCCCGCGGGGAGGAAATGCCCTGAGCGGGGCAGCGGGTGCAGGTCCCGCCCGTGTCGCCTGCGCTGGGAGCCGGGACACCTTTGGGGCCTCCACTTGTACCGTTTGAAGTGGGGAGCCGGGGGAGTTTTAGGGAGAACACGGGTGTGTGGGCTCCGAGGCTCTGCGTTTGGCACCTCGTCCCCAGGCCGCAGCACCCGGCATTGCGGTTTCACACGGTTGGTGCGGCTGGGGCCTTGACAGCCGCCTCCCGCGCTGAGATGACCAGCAGGCCTCGGGCGGGGCGGGGTGCGCGAAGTGCCGTGTACGCGCCCCCGGCCCAGTCCCCGGGCTTGGAGGCCCGCCCTGGGTGTCCCAGCAGGAGACAGAGCCCGGCAAGAGTGCGGGTGAGGGCTCGCGCCATGTTCCCGCCTCTGCACGGGTGGGCTGTGCCGGGAGGGGGGCCGGGCGCTTCCGAGGCCCTGCCGGGGCCCTGCCTCAGCCCCGTCTGAGCTCCGGCTTCTGTCAACGGGCTGTGGGAGGTGGGGCGGGGTCTCTGCCCTCAGGGTTTGCTGGACTCGTAGCCATGAGTCCCCGGTGGCCAGGCCCTCTGGGGCTGGAGCCTCCACCTCGCACCCCGTGCTCTTGTGGGAGACAAGTTCACTGGCCAGGCACAGCCTGGACTCTCTCGGACGCTGCCTTCTGACCTCCAGGGCCTACTCCTGAGCCCTGGGGCCCGGCGGTGCCCAACGGGGCTGATACCCACTGGCAGGCACCCCGGGAGGAGCTGAGGCTCTGAGGGGGGCACCTCACTTAACAGCGAGACTAGCGCACGGCCCAGCAGACAGGGACAGACCCGGCCCCAGGAGGAGCGGTGACGGGGTGGCGGGAGGAGCCTGCGCCTGCGGGGCGTGCCTCAGGAGCGCTGTCCTCCCTGGCCTGGGCTCGGGCATGTGCCTTCCCTGCGAGGCCTGGGCCTGGGGGCCGGCGCCCAGCCACCCGCTAGAAGCCACGTCTGTCCCCAGGGCCGAGGGCCCAGTGAGGACCCGGGGCACGCAGGGCCAGCGGGGTTCAGAGGCCGCGAGGCGCCATGAGGACAGTGCGCCTTGCTCGAGGCCCGCCGCCCCAGCCCTGCAAACCGCCCCCCCCCCCCCCCCCCCGCCGCGGGGTCTCTCCGGGAGAGGCCGCGGCACACACAGCGGAGAATCGCGCTCATCGGACAAGCGTCTGGGTCGTTTATTGCCTGTGAGAAGCAGCACGTGGGCCCGTGGGCTCTGCTGGCCCACGGGGAAGGTGCACTGGCGGGCGGCTCGCAGCCAGGGCGGGGCGGCCACGAGTCGGCGGGGTCTCGGCCACGTCCATAAAGAGTCTGGTCAGTAAAGACTGGGGCTGCGGGGCCCGGACGACGGCCCGCAGGAGACGGCGCCAGCGCCACGCGGCCTCGCCTCGCCGTTACTTGGCCCTTTTCGTCATCCTGGAAGCAAGCAGAGGGGACAGCCCGTGAGGCCTGCTGCCCAGGGGCGCCCCGCCACCGCGGGCTCACACAGCTGGGCTCGGGTCACGTTTCCTGACTGCCCACGGCCGGTGTGTGCGCACCCCGCGCCCCACACACACCACACACGCCCCGCGCCACACACACTCCACGCCACACACGCCACACACGCCACACACACACCACCCCACACCCCCGCGCCATATCACCCGTATCACCCACCATATCACCCACACCCCCACACCCCCAACACGCCCAGCCCTCCTCCCAGGCCCCCAGCCCCTCCTAACGGGCCCGGAGCTGCGCTCCAGATTCCCCGGACACAGCGGCAAGGGGCTGCTTACTCGTACTTGATGAGCCGGCCGCCCTGGATGAGCTGGGCCACCTCGTTGGTGGCGTGGCACGCCAGGAGGAGCCAGTTTCGAGGCTGGACCTTGTAGGCGAATCTCATGAAGGTCAGGGAGTAACAGCAGAGGGCTGCGGCGGCAGAGCAGAGGGGCAGTGACTGACAGCGGGGGCGCGGGCATGGCCGAGGGGAGAGCTGCCTGCTAGCCTGGCCAGTGAGAAACCCTCTTGGGCGGGACAAGACAGTGTGGGCTGTGCGCGGCCTGGCCCTTGTCTCCGTGCCCCCCAGTGTCCACAGCCCCTTGTGTGGGAGTCTGTTCCCGACCCCAGCTAGGCCCCAGGGACGTGAGGCTTCCCAAGCAAAGTCCAGTGGACACCCCCCGCACCCCGCACGCGGCGGCTCCACCTGAAAGGCAAACAGCCTGGCACCCAGGCAAATATTTACAGCGGCCTCCCTGGAGGATCACAGTCGGAGCGGCCTCGGGGCGCCTGCAGCCTCTGGGGACACAGGGTGCGCCCTCGCCCTTACCGAAGGTCATCCGCCCGCTGATGATCTCTGGGGACTTCTTCATGTCATTGATGGCGGCTATGGGGAGACCCCAGTTGGCGACTGGGCCCCAGAAGTGCTGTCAAGAGATGCGAGGGGAAGGAGAGGAAAGTTAGGGGGCCATGGGCGGCTGCGAGTCCTCAGTGTCAGTTTTCACCTCACGCCTGCGGTGCAGCCCCGGACGGTGGCTCGGAGGCGGGCCCTGGCGTTTGCGTGCGAGCCGGCGCCGGGCCAGCGGCTTTGGGAGGAACCCCGGACATGGAGGGTGTGACTAGGGACCGGGTCCCGCAGACCTGTGCTTCCTGGAGCCGCTGCGGCGAGCCACGACCCACCCCTCGGTCACCATGCCTTGAGGGGTGCGCAGGGGCCACATCCACTCATTGTCTAATTTTGGAGGCGGAAGTCCTGTGGCTTTGGCCCATGAAAATGTGTTTTATTTGTGTACAACGTGCAGCTACTTTAACATACGAAGAGGCCGTGTTCGGCGGCCTGGTCACAGGGCACTGCGCAGCGGCAACGGCCCTCACTTGACCACACGCCAACTAGGAGTCGCCAGAAGCCAAGCCAGACGGGAGGCAGGCGGGAATCCGGAGGAGCACACACAGCAGAACCGACCGGCGCGCCGCGGGCAGCTCCAGGTGTCCGACAGCAGCAGAGGCCCTGGGGCAGGGCGGAGCCCGCGGGCGTGAACCCCTAGCTCCTGCTGCCCCTGCCGCCGACGCTCGCTGGGAAGGGGCCTCTTATGTCTCCTGGGGCCCTCCCCGGCGTCCGACCTTCCTTTCCCTGCTCGGGCGCTTCCTGGGCGGTGCGGGGGCTCAGCCGCCAGCCTGGGGCCTGCAGCGCCACCCACACTGGGCAGAGGGGAAGGGCGGCAGTCGGGCTGCGAGGGGCGTAGCGCGGGCGGCGGGCTTCCGGCTGCCAGCACCGAGCTGCGCAGAGGCGGGTTTCCTAAGAAGGTCATTTGGCCTCAGGAAGTCATGGCGCCCCCGCACCCCTCAGGCAGGCCAGCGCCCCCGTCTCACCCCACTGCTGGCCATGGCCACCCCGGCACCGTCCCGCAGGTGGTGGCGTCCCGAGGGGACAGACGCCCAGGGACACTGGGCCAGCCCCTAGCCCGGAAGCCTGCCGCCCGCGCACGCCGGGGCACAGCCCTGGAAGGGAGGAGAGGGACCGTCTTACCGTGCTGTGCGGCGAGGCGCGGCCGAGTCCAGGCGGGAGGCATGGAGGGAAAGAAGAGAAAAGATGAGATGCCGTCCAAGACGGGGCTCCACGCCGAGCTCGGCCCCGCGCTCCGCGTCCTCTGCTGCAGCGCGCGGGAGCCACGGGACCGGTCGGCGACGCTTGCAGAGAAGCCACGGTTCCCGCGACAACCGGCCCGACACACCCTTAAGCCTGGGAAAGGTGAGCCTGAGCTCTCGGCGCCGAGCCGCAGGAGAGCAACGTTCCGGGGAAAACGATGCAGCTCACCAGAAAGAGCCGCACAGGGAACCGGCAATTTTCTAGAAGTCGCATTAACAAAGTAAAAGGAAACAAGAGAGCTTTATTAAGCTTATTTACTCCAACACGTCACAAAATACTCTGACTCGAGCGCAGCCCGCAGGCACCTGTTCCTGGGGCGCGGCGGCCTCCGGGCGGGGCGGATGCGGGCGGGCAGCACGGGCTTTCGCTCAAGACCACAGGCTGGGGAGAGCCGAGCGCTGCAGAGCCCCATGAACACGCACTTTCCACTGTTGCCTGCTAAGAGATGATCACCAGGTGAGCCCCCAAAATAGACCCAAGGGCCTGGAGAGTCACACCTGCTCCCTCCTGGACGCCGGGCCCTGTGGCCGGCGGTGCAATGCTCACGAGGGACCTCCCGGGGGAGCGACCAGTGGACACCGCCAGGGCTGAGCGAACTGCTCTTTGAAGGCCAAAGCTGACACCACCTAGAAGCACGTGGAAGGTTCTAGAGCGGGTCACGTTTCTTTCTGAAACGGCGACTCGTGCTGGTAGCGCTGACTTTCTCTGTCGAGGTGAAGTGCTAAACACCCACTTATTCTCTGCCGGAATGAAATGGTAACACCCTTCATCAAGACTCGCAACCAAATGCGGTTCTGGCCGTGTCCACGCAGCGGTCAGGAGGCCCGAGCGTGCAGCCGGGCGTGTCTGTCGAGAGCTGCGACACCCGGGGCGGCTCCTGTCGGGGAGCTTCGTCCTCAGCACCGGACTCCGCCCGTGGGCGCGCGGGGCGGGGGCCTCGGGGCAGACGGGGTCCGGGGAGGGCGCCCGCCTCTCGCCCCGCCCGGCCTGGGAATGGCGACAACAGCTCCGCCGTGACGGAGCCACTGTGAGTGCGCTCGGCGCGGGGCTCTCTGGGGCGGCGGGCGGGCCGGGAGAGACAGGCCGGCCAGTCGGCGTCTGTCCTCACGACGGTGAGTTCACGAGACCAGCCCGTCACGCGGGGACGCGGTGAGCCCGCGCGGAAGCCGGGGCCGTGGGGGCTGCGCAGCCTCGGCTGTTCCGTCCAGACCCCACGCGCGGTCCAGTCCTCGGGGGTGAGAGCGAGGGCGCTGCTCCTCGGGGCTGGTCTTGCTCTCGCCTCGGCGGGGACCCGGACTGGCCTGTCAGTTTCTTCTGAGCCCATTTTCCTCCTCCTCACGTCTCCTGGGCCTGCCGCGTCTCTCCCGCTTTCACGCCGCGACTGGCGGCCTTCTGCCTTCTCTGGAGATGCCGGGACGGGCCCCCGCCAGCTCCGACTGCGCCAGTGACGCCCGGCAGAGCCGTCTGTGGCAGCGCCGGAGCGGGTGGGCGGCCAGGCCGGGGCCTCCCAAAGGCAGTTCTGGCCGCCGGAACCTCCTGGCGCTTCCCATCTCCTGCCAAGCCGCGCCCGGTTTTCCAGCCCGAGTTGAGGCGGAAGAAGCGCGACAGCTGGAGATGGGGCAGCCGCGGCAGGTGCTGGCCGCACTAACTTGTCTGGCAGGCGAGGCCTGGAGACGGAGCCTGTCCCGGTGCTCTGAGACTCTCGGTGCCAGTTCTGCCTTCAGAGCTTTGGGCTTCGCCCAGAGTTGCAGGCGCATGGCAGGGAAGGGGCAGCGAGGGCAGGGCAGGCGGCGCTGGGTGGCCGGGAGCAGGTGTGGGGCGGTGCCGGAAGCCTGGTCTGCTAGGCCCACTGTTCTTCGGCGCCACTGTTTTGCCTTGAGCCCTAGACCAGTGTCCGGTTTTGGCATCCCAAGTTTGGCATCCGGAGCGGGGCAGGCTTTCTGCTTGGCTGGACAAGCCTCTCAGGCGGCGGATATGTGAGGCCCAGGCTGACGCCAGCTCTGCAGCGCCGCCGCGCCTGTCCTGGGGTCAGGGTGACCCCGGAGGCCGCCGAGCAGCTACGCCCCCGTGAACGCAGAAGGGCCCTTGCCAGCTGCGGACGGTCTCGGCGAACCCACCCGAGCTGGAGACTGCCAGGCCTGCGAGATGGCGAACGGGCTTTAAAGCCCTGCTGTCCGCGTCCTCCCGAAGGGAACTTCCTTGAGGCAGGCATCGAGTCCACGGCCTCCCCAGGGGGGCTCTCTGGGGCAGATCTGCACAGAGCTCGGCTGGCTCAGCCACCAAAATACACGCCCCATCTGGAAACCTAATTGCTCTTCTTCCTTTATTCTTTTTTTTTCAAGATTTATTCATGCCTACAAGAGCTGGGGTGCAGGCCAGAGGTGTGGGGGGGTGAGAGGACTCCCCAGAGACAGTGCGGGGAGCAGAACAGGTGGATCCACTGAAATCCATGGCTGAGGGGAGCAGCGGGCAAGTCAGGGGAGGTCTGGGGCGTCCTGTGGGTCACTCCCCGGCCGGGGATGGAACTTGCGCTGCAGTGGCTGCCGACAGCTTCACAGCGCCGAGACCCGCCCCCCACCCTGTGCCACCAGGGAGGCCCCTCTTCCTCCATTCTTGATCCAAAACTCCGGGGGAAAAGAGCAAAAAAGACTCTCTTCTCTCACTCTACCAAGAAAGACCGGAGGGAAACCGTTTCCAAAAAAAAAAAAAAAAAAGATAACAGAGATCCAGAAAGTTCTTGATTCTCAGTCCCCATGAAGACAGGCGTGCGAAGGGGTGGCAGCCGCCGGGAAGAGGAAGAGCGCGCCCGGGACGCGGGGGCTGAGGCGACGGAGACGCAGAGACTGCGCGTTGTCGGACGGCCCGGCCAGGCGGGCGCGACCCCAGCCCGCGGCTCACAGCCCAGGGCCACGGCCCCGCCGCGCGCCAGACCAGCAGAGGCGGCGGCTGCTCACGGCGCTCGGGCCCGCGGGCCGCCCTCGCCGCTGTCTGGTCTTCCATTCTAGGCCGGGCCCGGCCTCTTCCTCCTGCTTCTTGGAAGGTCCCTTCCGTGAGAAAGTCATCTCAGCCGTGTTCCCAGAACCTGACTGACAGAAATTCACCCTCTGTGGGAAATGTGATGTCAAATTTGTGCTGAAAAAATGGAGGGAGTTGCAGGAACGGCGAGTCCGAAGGACGAAAACAAGCGCCAGGCGGCGCACGGGGGATGCTGCGACCCAGTAAGAAGCTGAGCGAAGCCGCTCGGCATATTTTTGTTTCCAGAAGGATGTTACTTTGAAGCCCCCGTCCTGCCGCGAGCCGCCCCGGGAGGGGGTCTCTTCTCTCACGAGGAAGGTGGGGACAGGGGTGCCTCCCTGGCCAAGTCCAGGAGGAAGGCTGCTCTGTCCAGGGGAAGAGGCTCCCATGGAAGCTCCTGCAGTTGGGCTCCAGACCCCCAAGTGCCCTCCGAGGCTGTGGCAGGTCGCGGGCAGCCCCGAGCGGCGGGGACCCCAAGGCGGCCGGGCCACTTTGGGGGCTGCACAACAGTGATTCAGATGGGGAGCCCGGACACACCCACACTGGGGCGACCTCCCCCCACACCTGCAGAACAAGCTGTTCAGAGAGGGACAGACGGGCCAGGGAGGGGCCGGTCAGTCTCACAGAGGGCTGCACCCGGCACGGGCAGTGAACCCCCTCCGGAGAGGTGCGCTGCAGCCCACCGGCTGTGGGTTCAGGGCCCCCTGGCTTGGGGCGCCCCCTTGAACTGTCGTCAGGTGCCCCATCGCAGGGCCTTCCTGGATGCTGCAAGTCTGCCTTTCCTCACGGAGTCAGAGCTTTACTCAAGCAACACCGGAGCGAGAAAGGAGAGGTGCCGCCGCGCCGCGTGCAGCTGACCTTAGGGGAGCAGGCAGGGCCCGGACAGCTGGCGCTCAGCAAGCAGCCAGCAGGGCGGCCGGCACCCTCCAGGCCAGGCCCTCCTCCTCGGAATGGGCTGGCCAGTCCTGCCAGGGAAGAGGTGAGCACCTGCCCCAGGCCAAGGGGACACGCCACGCCGGACGAGAGGCCTCCCCTTGGAGACCCACGGTGAGTAGTGACCTCGTCTCCCCCCCTTTGACCTTGGCCGGCCACTATTACAAGGTCCACAAGGAGAGAACGTCAGTAAAAACCCGAAGATTCAAAACCAGCGACACTTGGCAGGAGGGACCAGGAACACGGCTCCGTGCTGCAGCCCTGCCGCCCCCACGGCCTGCCCGGAGCCCGGCTGGCCGAGCCCGCGCGCGTCCCGGGCCTGGGGAAGGACGGGCCGAGGCTGCGCCCCGCCGCGCGGGGGTGAGAAGCTGCTGCCCGGCTCTTCCCTCTGCCCAGGGCGGGACTCCTGCCTCACGGCCGCCGGGCGGGAGGGCCGCGCGCAGCACCACGGCGCCGGCCAGGCCGGACGGGAGCCCGTCCGCGGTCCCGGGTGCCCCGGCTGCTGCCCGCGGCGCCGACCCGTCCCGCCGCGGCTCCCGCCTTCCAGCGCCTGGAAACGCCGCTTTCCCCCGGCCCGCGCCGGCGGGGGGGGGGGGGGGGGGGGGGGGAGAGGGGGGAGCGCGGCCTCTCGCGCACCAAACCCTCCCGCAGGGCCGGGCCGGGCGGCCAGACGGGGGAGGCCGCGCCCCAGCCCCGCGCCCTGGCCCGGCGGGAAGGACGCGCGCCGCGTGCCCTTGGGGCGCCGCCATCCGCCGCGGAGGCCGCCCCCCCCCGCTGCGCCCCAGCTCGGGCCCCGCGGGGCGGACACCCGCGGGCGCCGCGGCCCCGGCCCCGGCCCCGCCGTCACGGCCGCGCGAGGCCGCCCCCGGCCCCCCGCCCCCGGCCCCCCGCGCCCCCGGCCCCCCGCGCCCCCGGCCCCCGGCGCCCCTGCGCCCCCGGCCCCCCGCGCCCCCGGCCCCCCGCGCCCCCCGCGCCCCTGGCCCTCCGCGCCCCTGCGCCCCCGGCCCCCCGCGCCCCTGCGCCCCCCGCGCCCCCCGCCCCTGCGCCCCCGGCCCCCCGCGCCCCCGCGTCCCGCGCCCCCGCGCCCCCCGCGCCCGGGCCGGGGTCCCCGCCCGCGCCCGCCCGCCGCGGGTCACCTGAGCAGGTAGTCGCGGAAGTCGCGGCTGCGGAGGTAGTCCGCCGCCCTGCGCGCCAGCGCGCCCGCCATGCCCGCCGATGCGCCGCCGCCGCGCCGGGCACGCGCAGCGCCGAGGGAGGCCCCGCCCCGCCCTGCGACCCCGCCCGACGCCGCGGCGCCCGCCCCGCCCAACCGTCCAATCGCAGGGCGCGGGGCGGCCGGCGGCGGCGCGGATTGGCCGGCGCGGGCCGCGCCCTCCCCCCGCCCCTCGGCCCGAGGGGGCGGGGCCGCGGGAACATGGCCGGCGCCGCGGGGATTGGCTGGCGGTTGCCGGGCGCCCGCCCCCCGCCCCCCGCCCCCCGCCCCGCGCTGCGGCCGTCCTCGGAAACGCGCGGGCGGCTCCCCCGCCTGCGTGGGCCCCAAGGGCGCCCCGCCCCGCGCGGGCCCGGCCCCCGCCCCCCAAGGGCACCTCGACCCGCGTGGGCCCGGCCCCCGCCCCCCAAGGGCGCCCCGACTCGCGGGGCACCGCCGTCGACCCCCAAGGGCGCCCCGACCCCCTGGGCTGCGGCGGGGACCCCCGTTTCTGTTTCCACTGGAAATCCCTTTGCCGGGGACGGGGGGGGGGGCGCCCGGCCAGGCGGCTCCGCGGGGCTTCCTCGCCGGTGCCCGCGGGCCGGCCGGGGGGATGGGGAGGGGGAGGGGGATGGGGAGGGGGGATGGGGAGGGGGATGGGGTGGGGAGTGCGGGGGCGGGTGGAGGTCGGGGGCGGCGGGGAAGGGCCCTCAGGCTGTGCGCGTGGAGGTAGGAACGCCTGGGTCGTCTCCGGGGCGCCGGAGGAGAGTTGGGGTGCTGCTGGGGGAGAGTTGGGGTGCTGCTGGGGGCGGGAAGCGAGGCTGGGGAATGTTCCTGCTGGAGCGGGGGACGCAGCCCGAGGAGAGGGGCCGTGGCCAGCCCGTGCCCTCACCCCCCCATGCAGCGCCCCCAGCCCCGCGGCCTCCCCTCGGCCGACCGGGCTGTGGAGGGTGCGCGAGGCCGCGGGAGGCCTGTGAGGCCCGTATCACGGATTTGTATCCGAAGTGCCCGTCTCGCTGGGTCACGAGTAGTTTTTATTCAGTAATTTCCTCTTTACTGAGCACGCCGTCTTTGTCCACCTCTTGGCAGACGCGCCTTCATCCCAGAAACCTGAAGGCAGGCGCAGGACAACCACCCTCGGTAAACTCTGCCAGCTGCCCAGCGCCAGCTGCCGGGCCCCAGGCCCAGCGAACACCCCAGGGTCACGGATGTTTCAGCTGCTGTGAAACAGCAGCTCCCAGCCGGTGCCTGTCGGCGGGACAATTTCTTTTCTTTTTTCTTTTTTAAAGACTTATTTATTTATGCATACAAGAGCTGGGGTGCAGGCCAGAGGTGCAGGGGTGCGAGGACTCCCCAGAGACAGAGTGGGGAACAGAACAGGCAGAGCCACTGAGGGGGCAGCGGGGAGACAGGAGGGGTCTGGGGGATCAAACACATGCTGCAGCGGCTGCGGACAGCTTCAGTGTGCTCTGCTTAACCCCTGCACCACCAGGGAAGCCCATCAGCTGGACAGTTTCTGGCCGTGGCGCTGGCCAGCGTGCCTGCTTGCAGCGTGAGGCGGCAACTGGGTAGGAGTCCTCGGGAGGCGCGGCGCGGGGAGAGTGACAGCAGCTCCCTTCAGAGCCCGGCCGCTTGCTGGGCTGCCTGCCCTTGTGGCAGAAATCGGTTCTGTGGCCCCCAGCAGCCAGGCGAGAGGACTCAAGGCTCCCTCCCGTGCGGCCTCTTTCTCGGGGCACAGGTCGCCGTGTCTCCTCCTGCACTCACAGGTCTGTGGGCAGAAGCCGGTTGGCCTGCGGGCAGACAAAGCTTCCCTCCGCTGCTTTCATCCTTGGCTCGGAATGGAGACACTTAGGGCCACTGCAGATCTGCCAACTCCGCTCCTCGTCCCCCTTCCTAAGTGACGTCCAAGCAGTTGAGAAATGGATGTACATTCTGGTTACGTAACATCGGTTGAACAGGTTTTCATGCCTGTGAATTTATTATAAGCTGCATCCCCCTCCCCGCCCCCTCCTGCCTGAGGTGGGGCTGCCTGCTGGTGCCTCTGGGTGCATCCCAGGCGCCCTCTGGCGCGCCACAGGGCCTTGGGCAGTGGCCAGGGGGTTGCTCTCCTCTTGGCCAGTTTCACCTGAGAAGCTGCAGCTCTGCATCTCCCCCGGGGGACCGGCTGGGGACCTGGGTGCTGAGGCCTCGTCCGGCCTCAGGCTCACCAGCAGGTGGTGGCGCGCTAAAGCGGAAGGTCCCAACACCCGAGAGCTGACCCGGCGGCACGCGGGGAGTCGACCGCATTGGTTGATTTCTCCAGAAACCTTTCACCTACAAAGCGGCTGGCACGACGGGGTTCGCTGGCTCAGGCTGCACGCGCCGGCGGGTGCCGGGTCTGGGTGCCCTTCTGGGCTGATCTGGAAGCTAATATTTGGTTTGACCTCATCCGTTCTCTTTGGCTTCTAGGCCAAGAGGGAAGCTGCACTGGAGCACCAGTTACCTGAGGAAGTGGCGTCGCAGGGCCCTGCCAGCCCCAGGAGGGACCAGGGGGCCGGCACCCCCTCCGTCCTGTCCCGGCTGGGCCACACCTCCCTCTGACTGACCCTGTGCGGGTGCTGAGGCAGGAGCTGGGATTTGAACCTGTGACCTCCAGCGGCCCGGTGCGCACGTCTCTGCTTCCACGCGCTGTGGGCCGGTGTCCATGTCAAGCTTTCCGGAGACTTGGGCGTGGGAGGGCCCAGGAGGGAGGGGAGGATTTTCCAGGGAGGGAAGCAGCCAGGCCCTTGTGTGCGCCCATCCCGTGCCTCTCTGCCCCATGGCGGGGCTGCCCAGCGGCTGGCAGGTGCTGCTCCGGGCTCAGGTAAACCTGGACAGGTGGGCGTTCTGCCTTCCAACTGGAGAAAGGGGGTGGGGGGAAGAGGGGGCAGCATGGGCTCAGCGCAGGAGGGAGGGGGCTCCAGGGAGCGGGCCGGCCACTGGCCCCGCTGGGGCTGGAGGACGTGCAGAGACCTGCGCTCAGGGCCCGCGGGCAAGGACGTGCTGCCGTGGGGGAGGGGGGGAGCCCTGACAAAGGGTCTGGATGTGGCCTTGGGAAGTGTCGTGGATGACAGGAGCAGAGGCATTGTGGCCGTGGCTCGGGTAAGAGCGGCGCGCGCCGCTGAAGGGCCGGGGCCACGTGTGCGTGTGACCCCGTGTGCGTGTGACCCCGTGTGGCGGCCCCGGAGGCAGCATTTCACTAAGTCACAAACCAGTCCGCGCTCCTCGGCAGGGCCCCCCATTGGGGGTGCTGTGGAAGTGTGGGTGCAGGGCCTGCCAGCAGGTCTGTCCTCTGAGCATCCTCCTCGGGGCTCCCCAGGTGTGTTCACCCATGTCACCACTTTTGCATCATTTTCCCGCAGGGACGTAAAGAGCTTCTCTACTGAAGTGCTTGCTAAGTAGCGTTTAGCCCCCCAAGGGGGTTTTGATGGGGAAACGGAAACACCCGAGACAGCGAGAGCTGGGGCAGCACAGCCCGGGCAGCCCCATCTTGCCCCGTGGCAGGGCTCCGGTCTCTGCTTAGCTCTGGGGAGGCGGCCGGGCAGGACCTGCGGGCTGTCCCCGGGGCCCTCCCGCCCCATCTGGGAGGGGTAGCTGCCCACGCGCGCGCTGCCAGTGAGTGCTGCCAGGTGAGCGGGCTTCCCCTGCGGCCCGCCTGCTGGATTCCGGGCTGACTCTGGCCTCTAGCTGACTCTGGCCTCTAGCGGCGGGTGGGACTCGCACTGTCGGTGGAGATGTCCTCCCGCACCAACGGCTGGCAGAGACTATCCTGACTCAGTTCAGCGCCTCCCCTGCTCACCCCCCAGATTGCTCCTGGCCGTGAGGCCTTGGGTCAGGACCACAGGAGGAGACCCGCCCTCAGGCCTCCGGGTGGGGGAGGACGGCGCCCCCCTGAGGCCCAGGCTGGCCCAGGCCGCATGACATGACCAGCCCGCACGCGACCAGGCGCATGTAGTCTGCCCACAGCGCCAAGCGAGCCAAGAAACACTGTGTCCCACCTGCCGCTCAGGCTCGTCTATCACACGCGCGTGATGGGCGTGCAGGGGCGCGGGGTTCAGGGAGCCGGCCCTCGGGCTCCCCCTGAGAAAGTTCCACCGGCGCCCCCCTCTAGAGGCACAGGGCGAGTCCCCCACAGGCAGAGATGTTTAGGGACAGCCGAAGGGCCGGTTTATTATGAAAGGGCAGGGCAGGCAGGGCAGGGGCTAGGAAGGGGGCAGGGCAGGCAGGGCAGGGCTGGCACAGACACCAGCGCGCAGAGAGCTCCCCCAGAGGGACAGGCTTGCTGAGAGCGAGGCCTGCCGGGCCCCAGGGGGGCTCTTCTCTGGGGGCTCGCTCCTGTCTCCACGGTGAGACGACTCACTTCCGGGGTGTGCCTGGGCCGGTCTGTGAGGACGGGGCTCTCTACAAAGGCCGTGTGCACCCCCGGCTCTGCTCCACGCCCTGGTACTCCCGCAGCCTCTGACACCCTCGGCCGTCGGGGCCTGAGGACTGTCCTTCCCGCGGCCGGTTACGGCTGCGTCACCATGTCCACCCCTGTAGGCCTGGCCCCGCCGCCTGCGTCCTGCTGTCCCGCTCTCAGCCCCAGCAGCAGCAGGTAGGCGAGGAGGCAGCAGCGGGACGCAGCAGTCACCTGTCACCATGGCAGCCCGCTGCGGGGTCTAGCTGCTGGCCCGCGATGGGCCATGCAGCTCAGCACGAGCCCCAGGCCCAGCGACGGCCTCTCCACGCCTGCAGGTGCGCGGCTGTGCCTGCTTCCGGCCCTGCGTCGACGGCTGTGTCCACCTGTGCACCTGCCGGAGGACAGGGAGCCGTGTCCATTGTAAGACTCGGCAGGGTCAGGGGCAAGTGGGGGCGGTGGCCAAGGCCCTGGGAGTGCGAGGTGCCCTGGCCAGCGTGGCTGTGCCCTGGCAGTGGCTGAGGGGGGCGCCCCTGGGGGACCCTTGGCCCAGCTCTTGAGATGACGGGATGTTGTGGAGGGTCGCCTGCTCCACGTCGTGCCAGACAACTGGGTCAGACAGCTGGGCCCCACAGCTCACGGTCAGCAAACACGTCCCGCGCCCCTGCAGACACGCCAGGGCCCCTCAGCGTCCTGCTCTGCAGCGGCCCCGCGGGGTCCCGCGCAGGCCGGGGCGGGGCGGGGTTAAAGGCCACGTGGCACTGGGGCCCGCGGCGCAGGTGGAAGTGGGAGACGGGTGTTTCCTCCAGGGTCGGGTATCCCCGTGTGGCCGCCGGCGCCTTGTACCCGGCTCCCGGTCCTACAAGGGGACACGCAGGGCCGGGCGGGCACAGCGGCAGGAAGCAGACAGGGCAACCCCTCACCCTCTCGGGAACGCCCGGCCCCGCGGCGGCACGACTCAGGGCATGCTGGGCTGTGGGACGCAGCGCGGCCTGTTACAGCGCGGGCGCACCACGCAGGGGTCTCCCCCGGGGGCCCTGCCCACTGGGGGAGCCGTAGAGCAGCGGAGGGGCCCGGCGACCAGGGAGCAGCCTGGGGGCGGTGCGTGGAGCAGAGACGGGAAAAGCCACCATCTCGGACTTGGCTCTGCCCAGGGAAACGTGGGGGCCCGGGAAGGAGGCGCTGGGAGGAGACAGAGCATGGGTGCGAGACTGGGGGGTGACCGTGGTCTCCCTCCTTCCCCCCAGACCCGCCTGGCCCGCCTGCTGGCCCTGCCAGAAGGGCCTCGGATGTGGGGCAGCGCGCAGGCCTCGAGGCCCTGCTTGGGGCCACGCCTGTATGACTGGCACTGGCGACGGGATGGGAAACGCTGGCCTTTCTCCTCGCCGCCCCCTGCTGCAGGCGCCCTCACCCGGGGCCGTCGGTGCAGCGCCGGGGGCGCGCGGGCCCCGTGCAGAGGGTCCCAAGGGCGGCTACTGCGTAGAAGAATATTACACTTCATAAAACCCGTGTTTATTCCAAAAATCTATTCAGAAAGTCTGGAAAGCGTAATAAATACCTGTACAGGGGCCGCCCCTCTCAGACACACAACGTAAAGCGTGAACATGAACTGGGCTGGAAAGGCGCGGGGCGTGTAAACACAGTGCTGGTCACGGGGCCGGTCGCGGGGCGGGGAGGCTGCTGGGCGCCGGCCTCGCCCTCAGGGACACGCTCGGTCTCGAATCTCAGAGGCTCGAAGATACAAATGACCCCCAAGGGCCGGGCGGCCTGGGGCGACTCGCCGGGGCGGGCACCTCTCCCTCGGGACGGGGCACAGGCCCGCCCTGGCGTGGGGCCGAGTGCGGGCTGGATCCTCAGTCTGGTCTCGCCACGGGGCTGACGCCGCCCGAGCAGGGCAGCATCCGACTTGCGTGCAGCCGCACCTGGAGCCCCAGAGCCAGGAGAGAGGCGGGGGGCCGGGCTCGCCCAGCACAGCCGCGACTGCTCTGGGGACGCTCCGGGGAGAACGCCCCACCGACCTCTCCAGGCGCCTGTGTCTGGGCCCCAGCGGGAGAGTGGGGGTAGGGGTGGGGGGTGGGGGGGCAGAGGTATTTCACGGACGTTCAAGTACAGCTGCTTGTGGGGGGCGGGGCGGGGCTGCGGGGAGCACAGGCTGGCCCTGAGGCGGCCCCCCTGGGGTGGAGCAGGCACACCCCGCTCTCCCGCCCACGTGCCTGCAGCCTTCAGCCCCCGACCAGGCCGGGCCGAGGCCCCCAGGGCTGCCCTCGGCCCACAGTGGAGCCGGGGCTGGTCGGCTCCAGGGGCGGGACCCAGGGCCTAAGCAGGACCCCGTTTTTCCGCAGACTCTGATGATCAGTGAAGTAACAGACCGGAAACCAAACTGTTACAGGCGGAAGTTGCCTCAGCTTTGGGACAAGCATTTTGTGTTGAGAAGACACGAGACAGGCCTAGCGGGGCGGGGACTGGCCCAGGGGCCGGCCCGCCTCGGGCTCTTGCCTGCTCTGAGATTCTCCGCAAGGAAACCCCACGGGATAAATTAAAGCTTCTGAAATAAGTTAATGTTTTAAGGCCTGAAGAGGATCAGACCCACCTAATTTGAGAATGTGGCACTTATTCTTTTGGACTGAAGGGAAGCTGGAAACTGGGGACCACCACCGTTTGGGGGCGCAGCTGGCACCTCCGGCTCCCACCCTGGGGACGGTCACCAGAAAGGTCACGGCCGGCCAGCTCTCTCTGCCGGGGTGGGGGCGGGCGGGCGGCCACGCGCTCGGCCCTGTGCAGACGCCACGCCCACCTCGGGTCACCACCCCAGACACACACACACACGTGAAGGGGCGCTTGTGCAGGGCGCGCACACACACAGAAGCAGGGCCCTAACCCTCCTGCCGCGGCAGAGCCCGGGGAGGACGCACGGGGCAGCACAGAGCTTGGGCTGCCGACATCACAGCTTTTCCGCGGACTAGAAAGTGGAAGCCGAAGGCACAGCTGCGCCCTGGGTGGCCCGGAGCCCTCGGCCCGTGGTCAGCCCTGCAGCCCCGAGGCCTCCCACCGCCAGCTGCCTGGGCATGGACGGCTTCTCCCGGGGGACACGCCACTCTCAGGAAACGTGGTCGTCGAGGCAGAGGTGCTGCCGGCGTCTGGGGGGCTCTCTCTGCACTCCCACCCGCTCTTTGGACCACATGGCCGGAGCTGCTGGCCACCACCCTCCGCCTGGCCGGTGCGTCTTTTCAGCACAGCCTCGACAGTTGGGGGGGACGTTGGTTCGTCTGAGCAGAAGTGCGGCCTCGGGGGCCTGGCAGGCGTGGGACGGGCGCGGGCGCAGTGTCCGTCAGCAGAGCCCAGGTGGGTGGAGGTGGTGGGGTTGGCACAGCAAGGCATTGGGAGGCTGCGTCAGACGCAAGCGCGGCACCTTGGCCCAGGGCACAGTCATGGCGGCGCTGGCACCGGCCGTGTCCCCAGGGGCACGCATGCCCGCTGGCTGCTACAGCCTGGTGGAGGTGAGTCTCCTCATGCTGCGGCGCTGGGCCAGGCTGGAGGACAGCACCGGCTCCAGCCGCGGGGCCTGCGGGCTTCTGTTCAGGGCGAAGTAGGTGGCGGCCACGGCGCCCTGCAAAACCAAGGGGCAGGTGACCATGCTGTAGATGCGGAGCCTCGGTGCCCTGCTGGATGGATGCGGGGGCCTTGGGCATCCAGAGTGGACAGCTCAGGACAGGGGCCCTTGCGGGGCGGGACCTGCTTCTTATTCTGCGTCCCTCTTCATCCCGGGCCACCTCCCGTGACCATCTCAGAGCCGCATGGCACCGCTGGAGAAGGTCACCGGCTCTGGGCTCCTGGTGGGGCCGGGTCTGGCTGGGGCCTCGGGGCTCCTGGATCGAGGACTGGGTCTGGCCTGTGGCTCTGCCCCGCCGGAGAAGCCGAGACGCGCCTGGGGAACTGGATTTGGGCTCAGTCCTGGGGGCTGGTCCAGCAGACACCCTGACTGGACCACTCGCCTGGCGGGGCAGGCCACGCCTCTCCAGAGAGGGATCCCGCCCCAGGCACCCCGTCCCGAGACTCAGCTTGGGGGCTCAGGCCCCACTCGCCTTGCTGAGTTGAGGGCATGGCAGCAGTGACCCGAGGGTGGGGTGCGAGGTCCCTGGAAAGGGGGTGCGACTGGAATGCCCCCCCGGGTGCTCACTGGACCCCACTGCCTGCTAACTGGACCGGTGAGCCGCCTGGCCCAGCCTGAGCCGGAGCCTCCCCTCCGCAGCCCCACGCACGGAGGGGGAGCCCCTCGCCCCAGCAGCGGAGACCCCCAGACCTCCGGACGTCCGTCAGTCTATCTGGGCTGTAGGCCAGGGCGCAGGTGCAGGACGCCGCTTCCTCGCACAGGTAGTTCAAGGCCACAAGTGAGAAGTGCCGGGGAGGCCGGGGGAGAGTCCACCCACGAGTGGAGCCGGAGCCCGTGGCGGGCAGTGAGGGCGGGGTGGGGGGAGCCTGCCCCCGCTGCTCTGCGGCTGTGCCTCGCGGCCCCGGGTCTCAGGGTTCTCCATCCTTAGTGGCCAAGCCAGGCCCCCGGAGCACAGGCCCAGGGGTCTGTCAGGAAGGCCCAGAGCAGGCCGGGTCCGCCTGGCCAGCCACCCCCGCCCACCCTCTGGTACAGGCCTCCGTCCTGGGGTTTCTGCGCCCCGCGAGGCACCGCAGACAGGCGGACTCTGGCTCACGCAGTCGAAAATGGCTCTGCCGGGCCGTGGGGAGAGCGTGCAGACCTCGCCCAGCGGGGCTCAGGGCTGGAGGTCGTCGGCCGTGGGCACCCCCTCTCCGCTCCTCCCCGCCCTCTCGCCTCTGACTCGCCCTCGTCACCCGGGCTCCGGCTCCCCAGTCACCGGCTGTCACCGGCTGCGTGCATGGCGCTTCCCGGCTGGCGGCTGCCCCGGCGCCCCTGGGCCCCCCACGTGCCGCCCTGCCCCGCACCCACCTTCACCAGGTGCACGTCTGGTCTGCTGAGCTGGCTCTGGGACAGGTACTCCCTGTTCACGATCCAGGGGTGCTTGAGGACCTGCACGGCCGTCAGGCGCTGCTGCGGGTCCACGTGCAGCATCTTGGACACGACGTCCTGCGGGGGAGGGGCCGGTCGGGTGTGGCAGGGGCCGCCCACGGGGTCGCGGCCCCTCTCGGGCCAAACCCAGCCTTGTCTGGGGTGGCTGCGGGTTTGGGCTCAAATCTCTCTTCAGGTTTAGAGACGCGCTCGCGGCATCTGCGTAACGGCCAGCGCGGCTCGCCGGTGCACACCCCCCGGCGGCGGGGTTCTGAGCCCAGCACAGGGGGACGCTCATCCCTGCGGCGCTGTGAAGGCGAGTCTGCTCCACAGCCACACGCACACACGCGCACATGGCACACCCACACGTCGCGCGCAGAGCGCATGCAGGCACGCCTCGTGTGCACGCGCCACGCCCAGTGTGGCCTGCTTCCGCACGGCGTCGCCAGGCCCTGCCCGCGGCTCAGGCCCTCGGAGCCACCGCAGCCCTGGGAACGGGCCCGTCTCTCCCCCTCGCCGACGAGGCTCGGGGCTGGTGGTGAAGAACCCGCGCCAGGGAAGACCCGCGGACCCTCGGGCTCTCGGCCATGACCTCCGCCGTGACCTCTGCCACGGCCCCCGCCACGTCCTCCGTCACGACCTCGGCCACCTCGCCCTCACAGCTCCATCAACTCTGCCGCCTTCACCACCCTCTCCCCACGCTCACCCCTCAACTCCTCCACGCGACCTCTGGCACCTCCAGCGTGGCCTTCGCCGTCACCGCCGCCCTCCCTCGCCTCCGTGGCTGCACGAGGCTGCACAGCGAGGGCACCGGCAGGGCCCGGCCCCGGTTCTCTGCGCGCCCCCCAGTCATCTTACAGGAAGCAAAGGCCGGCGCGCTGCTCACCCGTGCTGGGTCATGGCCCACTATTTAGTCAGAGGCTGAGCTGGACTCAGTCTGGGGTGAGGAGACAAGCTGGCCGCAGAGCGGACTGCGGAGGACCAGGGGACAGGCGCTGTGGCCACAGAGCCGGGCCCCACACCGGGGCGGCACTTCACAGCTGCGTGTGTGGCAAATGCGCCAACGGGCCGGGCTTGGCCTGCACTGGGTCAACGCCGCCTACACGTCTCGGGCTGAGGTGGAACGTCAGTCAGGGGCAGACCGACGGTACGGGGGGGCGTCCTGTCAGCAGAGATCTTGAAAAGAGCTTGCCACAGGCAGCCTGGACCTGAGCCGCAACACGCACTGCGTCTGCAGCCTGCCGCCCTACTGTGTGCTCCTGGGATGGTACTGCCCTCCACACTCACGCAGCCTGTCCTCCCCGCCTGCTGCTGCCCTTGCTCTGGAGACCAGCTGGAAGCCCGTTGGGCGCGCGCAAGTGTCCCGTGTTTCCTTTACATTCATTTCAGCCGAGGCTCAAGAAGGCGTGTGCGGCCGAGACGGCTGCACTGCCCTGGCCTGCCGCGGAGCGCCCGGGAAGGAAGGGTGATGGGCCTGCACTTGCCTTGGCCGCGTCCGATATGGAGTCCCAGTTTCCCCCCGAAAGCGCGTACTTCCCGCTGCCAATCTTGGCCAGAATCTCCTCAGGAGTATCGTCCGGTCCGTTGGCAAAAGGGGTGAACCTGTGTGACGAGCGCATCGGGGCACTGAGCGTCCAGGGCAGCAGGAAGGGAAGCCGGCGCAGGCGGGGAGGGAGGGTTTCTTCCGGGCTGAGCCCAGGATCAAGCTCAGCCGGGCCCTCAGCTACTCCCCGGGTCGCACCAGCAGGTGCAGGACAGGGCCGACGGCCCTCTGAGCCAGAGCGGCCTGGGGACACGCGGGCCGGCCACGGCTGTCTGCGGGACGTGCATGGAGCCTGCTCTGCGCCGGAGGCCCAGCGCTGCCCACGCCCTACTCGCAGCTTTGACAAGTTAATTTTTGAGCTTCAACTGCAAATAGCTGGAGGAAAATATTCCCGGCCGCAGCAGTGATGCCCATGGACACACCCAGGTGGGCACAGGGAGCCCGTAAGCGCGTCTGTCTGTCCCCTGCAAGGCTGGGCGCCTGGTGCCCGCCGCCAGCAGTGGCAGCTCCACAGCACCGCCTTTAGTGGCCAAGCCCGTGGCACCGGCCACGCCAATGCCAAGTGAGAACCAGGGCACCCGCAGGCCTCGCCTCTGCTCCCCCGTGCTGAGACACCGGGCCGCCCCACCGAGACGCTGGCTGCAGCAAGGCCACAGCGCAGGAGGCCCTCGCCCCCTCCTGAGGTCATCCTGTCCATTTCGCTGCAGTGAACAAGATGGCAGTGGCCTCGGGCCTTCCCAAAGCTCTCCCTGCACGCAACTCTCTCACAAACGCCCAGTTCTTAGGCGTCCACACCTCCATGGCACGGGGAGCCCCGTCTATTCCGCATTCAAAAGTGAGGGAGGGAAGTGGCCACTGGGGCCAAGAAATCCAGCTGGGGTTGGAGCTGGGAGTGGCGCTCAGCTGGGAGGAGGCACAGCTGAGCCCTCCTGGAACCCGCCCGCATGGCCTGCCGCAGCGGTCACAGGGACGCCAGCTGGCCGTCTGCTGCACCCGCGGGGCCTGCGCTGCCCGGCCCTGGCAAAGGGGACGCTGTCAAGGACGGGCTGTGTGGACCCTGGAGGAGAGCAGCGCGGTGCCCGGGGCTGACGTGGGCCATGGCTGACTCTGGGGTCCCAGCTCCCTCACCCTGGAGAGCCTTTCAAGCAATGCGCGGGTCGGCTCCTCCTCGTAGGGGCTCAGCAAGTCTGCATGACCCCCCCAAGACCTGTGAGTGTGCATCTGTGGGGGGCGCCCGGTCCCGGGAGGCCCCGCCCCACCGCGGCCCCGGAGGCTGCACGCACCCCGCCAGCATGGTGTACAGCAGGATCCCCAGGCTCCAGATGTCGCACGCAGCGTCGTAGCCTTGCCGCTTCAGGACCTGTGGGGAAGCAGACACAGGTGGCGGCTCTGACGGGCGCGCCGGGCGGGTCATGCGGCAGGGAGCACGGCCGTGGCCCACTTGGCAGGCGGTGGAGGCTCGTTGCCATCAGCCCCCTCACACACATCTGCCCCCGGCCCCTAAAGGCCAGCGCCGGGCAGCCAGAGGGCTTGCTGGCCACCTGACAGGTCGGAGAGGACCCGTTGAAGGCTCATGTTTAAGGCCAAAGAGCCTCCTAAAATTACGGCAAAGTATCTCCAAGGGGAAGGCTCCCTCCCGCCCACACCTGGGCCCGCAGCTCAGGGGCGCAAGTGCGTTCACCTCGTGCAAATGCGCCACCCACTTCCAGAATCCCCTGCCCTCCTGCAAACTCTATGCCCACAGACACGAGGCCCTGTGCCCCGCGATGCCCGTCCACTTTGTAACCCTGGGCGGCCCGGGGCTGGGAGCGGGTCACCCGCTGGCCCCCAGGGCGGCGCCCGCAGGCCGCGGGCCAGCTCCTGCATGTCAGGCCTCGCCTTGTGCTGCGCGTCCGTCGGCTGTGCACGGCCACCCGGCTGCTCCCGCGCTTTGGTGCGGCCACGGGCACTGCACGGCCATGGGCACAGTGTCTGCTCTCGCCGCCGTGACGGCTCCTGCCACAGCGCTTAGTCGCGCCGCATCCAGTTCTCTGGCAAGCGAGTTGGGGCCCGGCCTGGCCCCACCCCGGAAACCCTCTGACACACCCAGGGGGGAGCAGCACGAGGAGGCCCACGAGCGCTGGGTGGCGGGGCCTGAGTTGGCCAGGACGGCTGCGTCCGGCCATGGCGAGGGGCAAAGCACAACTCCGTTGTCAGGCCCGCTCGCGGCACCCCGGCTGGGGACCCGGCCGCCCCGAACCCTGCCTGTTGGGGGTCGTGAGCCTGCTCAGTGGCCGGTGGGAGTGGCTCTTGGCTCGGTCCTCTGCCGAGGCTGACCCAGGGGTACCGGCCACGGAGCTCCTCGGCGGCTTCAGGACCTGATGGGACGGAGGCCGGGCTCGGAGCTGGAGGGGCTTGGGATGGAGGCTCTGGGGCCAGGCGGGGGCCCTTGGCTCTGGGGTGCACCTGCAAACCACTACAGCCCTAGGGGGAGCCTGGTCCCCACGTGCTTCTGTCACAGAGAAAGGACTGCGAGCTCCGCCCCAGGAAGCCCGCGGGCACCTCGGTTCTCACTGGGGCAGAGCGGGGGTGGGGGGGGTCTGTCAAAACGGCCTGCAGCACCACACGGTTGCCATGGAAACAGCCTTAGCAGTTCCACAAACGGGCAGTGAGACGAAGAAGCGACCCCGAGGGAGCCAGGTCTGGCTGATTCTTGCTGCCTCAACCCCTGCCCGGCCGGCGCCCGCCCCGCCCGCTCCGGGGAGGCCCCGCTCACCTCCGGGGCCACGAAGTTGGCGGTGTAGCAGGGGGTCATGAGCAGCCCGTTCTCGGCGCGCAGCTGCTTGGCGAAGCCGAAGTCGCAGATGCGGATGGACTCGGGGTTCCCCGACTCGTCCACGTACAGGATGTTGCTGGGCTTCAGGTCGCGGTGCACCACCTGCGGGCAGCGCGTGGCGGGCGCTCGGCTGCGGCCTGGTATCCCCCACCGGCCGCTGCTCTTGGGGACCCAGCGCAGAACCAACCCCCAGGAGACGCGTGAACGGAGGAGGGAGCGGGTGGCCATCCAGGCGGGCGGCGCAGGGTGCAGCTAAGAGGATGCCCAGCCCAGTCTGTGCCGAGTGCCCCGCAGGCCCCAAAGGGGCGGAGTCGGGGCCAGAGGCCTCTGCCCGGGCGGGGACCAGCCCCACAGACACCCAGAAGCCGCCCCCGTGCGGGCCGGGTGGTGCCAAGTGGGGCGAGCATCGGGCCAGTTGCCGCATGGCAGGGCCGGCACCCTCCGCGCTGGGGCTGTTGACCACACTGCGAGCTCCCAGAGAGGGGACAGAGGCCAACGGGCGGCCCGGAGCCTGCGCGTCCCCGCCGCCCCCACAGGACCCCGCTGCAGGCCCAGAGGGCAGCTGGAGGGCCACGCGCGGCCAGCAGAGCCAGGCAAGGACTCTGGAGGCCTGGGTTGAGGCCGTGGCTGGCTCGCGTTAACAGAAGCAAATCTGGGAATCCATTGTGCAAAGAACTGTTTCTGGGTTCCAGAGAAGCCCGGATGTCCTACCCAGCCCCTGCTGACCACACAGAGACCCCCTGTGTGGCGGTGGGGGAAGGGCCGGCTCAGACACGCCTGCAAGCTGAGGCCCAGGGAGCACGGCCCGCCTGTGAGGACCTGAGAGGGATGCAGGGAGCACCGCCTCCTGGGAGGAGCTGAGAGGGGTGCAGGGAGCACTGCCTGCCTGGGAGGAGCTGAGGGGCTCAAGGAGCACCGCCCGCCTGGGAGAAGCTGAGAGGGGTGCAGGGAGCACTGCCTGCCTGGGAGGAGCTGAGAGGGGTGCAGGGAGCACCGCCTCCTGGGAGGAGCTGAGAGGGGTGCAGGGAGCACCGCCTCCTGGGAGGAGCTGAGGGGCTCAAGGAGCACCGCCCGCCTGGGAGAAGCTGAGAGGGGTGCAGGGAGCACTGCCTGCCTGGGAGGAGCTGAGAGGGGTGCAGGGAGCACCGCCTCCTGGGAGGAGCTGAGAGGGGTGCAGGGAGCACCGCCTCCTGGGAGGAGCTGAGGGGCTCAAGGAGCACCGCCCGCCTGGGAGAAGCTGAGAGGGGTGCAGGGAGCACTGCCTGCCTGGGAGGAGCTGAGAGGGGTGCAGGGAGCACCGCCTCCTGGGAGGAGCTGAGAGGGGCGCAGGGCAGGGGGAGGCGCCCCAGGCAGGGTGGGAGACCAATGGGCGCCACGCAGCTGCCTCCAGGAAGTGAGGGCCTGCGAGCGGGGTCTGGAGCCCGACTCTGCCCCTTTCACCTGCGCGCCCTTGGCGAGCGCCTCGCCCCTCTGGCCATGGTCTCCCCACTGTGAACGGGCGCGGCCAGCAGTCAGGGGCAGCGGTGAAGGGGGGGCAAGCCGGGGCACCCCCAGTGGCCAAGCCGGGTGCCGGCACACGACCGCGCCCCGGGACCTGCGCAGGCAGAGCGGCGCTGGCCTCCTCCTGGCTGTGCACGCCCGCAGCTGCCCGGCCCCCCTGCTCGGGCACGGCCCAGGCCGGGCGCGAGGGGTGCGCGCTCACCCCCTGCGAGTGCAGGTAGTCCATGGTCCTGGCGATGGTGCACAGCACAGCGCTGGCCTCCCGCTCCGAGAAGCAGGTCTGGCGCAGGATGCGGTCCAGCAGCTCCCCGCCGCGCATCAGCTCCGTGACCAGGTACACGCACTGGCCGTCGTCGTACACCTGCGGGCGGGGCGTCAGGCGCCGCGCGGCCCCGGCACACCCCGCCCCTCCGCCTGTGGCCGGGCTCCCGCGCCCGCGAGGCTGCTCCTCACGCCGGCCCTGGCGCCTCAGGACTCCCGCTTCCCGGCCGGCGGCAGGGGGGCCAGAGGGCAGGGCCCAGGGCCACTACCCAACCTGGCTCCACGGCCGCGGAGGGGAGATGGTGGACAGGAGCGCCCTGGCGGGGACAGCGGACATACCCAATGGGGGGTGTGTGGTGTGTGTGTGTGTGTAGTGTGTGTGTGGTGTAGTTGGTGTGTGATGTGATGTGTGTAATATGTGTTTGTGGTGTGTTTGCAGTGTGTGTGAGATGTGTGCAGTGTGTGTGTGGTGTGTTGTGTGTGTGGTATGGTGTGTGTTTGGTGTGTTTGGTGTGTGTGTGGTGTGTGGAGTGTGGGGTGTGTGTGTGGAGTGGTGTGTGTGTGGTGTGTGTGTATATGTGGTGTGTGTGGAGTGTGTGTGGTGTGTGCGTGGTGTGTGTGGTGTATGTGTGTGGAGTGTGTGCTGTGTGTGGTGTGTGTGGTGTGTGGAGTGTGTGTGGCGTGTGCGGTGTGTGTGTGGTGTGTGTGTGGTGTTTGTGTGGTGTGGTGTGTGTGGTGTGTGTGGGGTGTGTGTGCGGTGTGTGGGGTGTGTGTGGTGTGTGTGGTGTGTGTGGGGTGTGGTATGTGTGTGGGGTGTGTGTGGTGTGTGTGTGTGTGTGTGTGTGGTGTGTGTGGTGTGTGTGGGGTGTGTGTGTGGTGTGTGTGGGGTGTGTGGTGTGTGTGGGGTGTGGTATGTGTGGGGTGTGTGGTGTGTGTGGGGTGTGTGTGGTGTATGTGTGTGGAGTGTGTGCTGTGTGTGTGTGGTGTGTGTGGTGTGTGGAGTGTGTGTGGCGTGTGCGGTGTGTGTGTGTGGTGTGTGTGGTGTGTGTGGGGTGTGTGGTGTGTGTGTGGTGTTTGTGTGGTGTGGTGTGTGTGGTGTGTGTGGGGTGTGTGGTGTGTGTGTGTGGGGTGTGTGGTGTGTGTGTGTATGTGGTGTGGTGTGTGTGTGGTGTGTATGGGGTGTGTGTGGTGTGTGTGGGGTGTGTGTGCGGTGTGTGGGGTGTGTGGGGTGTGTGTGGTGTGTGTGTGGTGTGTGGTGTGTGTGGGGTGTGGTATGTGTGTGGTGTGTGTGTGGTGTGTGGGGTGTGTGGTGTGTGTGTGGTGTGTGTGGTGTGTGTGGGGTGTGTGTGTGGTGTGTGTGGTGTGTGTGGTGTGGTGTGTGTGGTGTGTGTGGGGTGTGGTGTGTGTGGGGTGTGTGTGTGGTGTGTGTGTGGTGTGTGTGTGGTGTGTGTGGTGTGTGTGGGGTGTGGTGTGGGGTGTGTGGGGTGTGTGTGGTGTGTGTGGGGTGTGGTGTGTGAGGTGTGTGTGGTGTGTGTGGTGTGTGTGGTGTGTGTGTGGTGTGGTGTGGTGTGTGTGGTGTGTGTGTGGTGTGTGTGTGTGGTGTGTGGTGTGTGTGGTGTGTGTGTGGTGTGTGTGGGGTGTGGTGTGTGTGGTGTGTGTGTGTGTGTGGTGTGTGGTGTGGGGTGTGTGGGGTGTGTGGGGTGTGTGGGGTGTGTGGTGTGTGTGTGGTGTGTGTGGTGTGTGGGGTATGTGGGGCGTGGTGTGGTGTGTGTGGTGTGTGTGGTGTGTGTGTGGTGTGTGGGGTGTGTGGTGTGTGTGTGGTGTGTGTGGTGTGTGTGGGTGTGTGTGTGGTGTGTGTGGTGTGTGTGTGGTGTATGTGGTGTGTGGTGTGTGTGGGGTGTGGGGTGTGTGTGGTGTGTGTGTGGTGTGTGTGGGGTGTGGTGTGTGTGGTGTGTGTGTGTGTGGTGTGTGTGTGGTGTGGTGTGGTGTGTGGTGTGTGTGGTGTGGTGTGGTGTGTGGTGTGTGTGGTGTGTGTGTGGTGTGTGTGTGTGGTGTGGTGTGGTGTGTGTGGTGTGTGTGGTGTGTGTGTGTGGGGTGTGTGGGGTGTGTGTGGTGTGTGTGGGGTGTGGTGTGTGGTGTGTGTGGTGTGTGTGGTGTGTGTGTGGTGTGTGTGGGGTGGTGTGTGTGTGTGGGGTGTGGTGTGTGTGGTGTGTGTGGTGTGGTGTGTGGTGTGTGTGGGGTGTGGTGTGTGTGGGGTGTGGTGTGTGTGTGGTGTGGTGTGTGTGTGGTGTGTGTGTGTGTGGTGTGTGTGGGGTGTGTGTGTGTGGTGTGTGTGGTGTGCGGGCGGGTCGGGGGAGCCTGGCCGGCAGCCTCGGGTGTGGGCGGCGTGGGCAGCGCCTGCCTGGGGGGCGTGGAGGGCGCAGCAGGCGTCTCTGTGGCTCAGACCCGCGGCTGGGAGAGCAAACCTGGCTGTCCCCGCGGCCCCGCCCCCGGCACCAAGGTGGAGGCTGACGCCCAGGAGCCCCCCCATGACCCCTGCGGAGCTGACAAAGCCAGAATGGGGGGGGGGGAAGTGGCTGAAACAGGCCGCCGGACCCTCCCGGCATCGCGGCTGGCCTGGGCCCGGGAGGCTCTCCCGTGCCCGCATGGGGGCTCTGTCCCCTCCTGAGCCCTGCGGGGCGCTGGGCTGGCCGGCTGCCCCGCAGGGCCTCCCCCCGCCCCAGAACCTCTGGCCGCCAGCAGAGAGCCGGGCAGCGCCGCCCCGCCCAGCGAGGCCAGTGGCACCTCCTGGTCCCCCCCCACGTCCACCCCACGGGACGGCGGACACGTCCGCCTTCACCCTTGTGCCGCTGGAGGGCCGGGCAGTGCCCCGGGGCTGCGGACCCCGCCCCGGCGGACGGGGCGCAGAGCGGGCGGTGGGCCTGGCGGCTGAGCAGCGCGCGGAGCTGCAAGGTGGGCCGAGACCACTCACGTCTTTGAGGGTGATGATGTTGGGGTGCTGGCCGTACCGCAGGAGGATCTCGATCTCCTCCGAGGGGTCTCTCTTGCTCTTGTCGATGATCTGGAACGAGCGAGCGGGTGGGGCGGCTGCACGCGTCCCGCTCCTCTTCCCGCCGGCGACGCGCGCCCGGAGATTCAGGGCGGCCCCGTCCCTCCCAGCGGGCACCAGAGTGACCTCAGAGGGGACAGGCAGCCTCGTTCTCAGACACGACAGGCTGGATGGAGGCGGGGGCTGGGGCGCCTCCCATGGGGGGGCTGTCAGCCACTGCCACAGGCGCTGTGCGGGGTCGCACCGGGCACCGTCACGAGCCCCGGCCGCGCCCTGGCCCCGGTCCACACACGCCAGCGGGAGCCCCGGCCACGGCCCGGGAGTGAGCCACGGGCGAGCTTCTCGCCGAGAGGCCGCAGCGACAGCAGCCCTTTGTCCCTCCCCCGCGCCCCGGGCGTGTCCCGCTCGGGGAACACGGAGCCGCTCTGCCCGGAGGCTGCGGGGAGGCAGCAGCCGCTTCGCTCCAGGCCGTGAGGTGGCGGCCCGGGGCCCGTCACGCGGCTCAGCCTCTTCCCGTTTCCCGGACAGGATGCCGGGCAGCACCCGGGCCTCTGCTGTCCCCGAGGCGGAGCAACTCTGCCTGCTCCTCCCGCGCGTCAGCCCCCCAGCCCCCCGCCGAGCCGGGTGTCACCCGGGGCGGCGCCCAGGGCACCCCTTGCCGGAGACGAGAAGACACGCTCCCCCCCTGGGGCCACTCTCGCCTTTGAACTCCACGGAGCTCTCAGGGAGGACACCGGGTGGCGTCTGCTGGCGACAGGCCCCAGCCTGGGTCTAGAGGGGCGACGTCCACACAGCCTCACCCCACGGCGCGCTCCGGAACGCCCCGCTGGGGGCGCCTTCCCGGGCCGCGGTGGCGCGTGCTGCTTCGGTCCCGGGGGCCACCCCCTCTCTGGGAGCCGCGATCTCCACGCGTGGGAGGCGAACAGCCGCGGCTCATCGTTCTTTCCCAGTGAACGCTCGTGTGAAAGGGCGGCATCGGGGCGCGATCGGGCGCGAGTCGGAGTCTGGCTTCTCGCCCTCCCGACGGCCCGGGCGAGCGGGACAGCGGCGAAGCTGACCTCCTGCAGCGGCGGCACAGACCCAGAGACCCGGACGCGGCCGGAGGGACGCGGTGGCAGCTGCCGGGGCCAAGGGCGACACCCGCTGGGAAGCAGGTGGCGGAGCCCCCCCCCTCCCGGATTACCGGACGCCTCCCCCGAGGCACAGGAACGAGCGCCGAGAGGGAGCGCGCCGAGTCTCCCTGCCGGGAACGCGCAGATTTTCATGCCAGTCAATTTCTTGGACTGAAAACACGCTCTGCTCACGTCCAGCGTCTGCCCTCGCCCCGCGGCCTCTCCCGGGTCACGCGTCACAGGCTTGGGAAACGCAGCCTCATTGCGGCGGCCGCTGTGAGCGCCGCCGGGGCCTCCTCGGACGCGCCCGCCAGCCAGGGACCAGCCAGGGACCCGGGCTCCGCGGGCGCCGGCCTGCTGGCACGGGGGCCGGGGGGGCCGCTTCCCCGGGGACAGGCGATCAGCGGGCCGAGGCCGCGTGCGGGGCTCTGAGACCTCGTTCCCGAGCCGCTGCAGGGAGAGGCGCGCCCGGCCGTCTCCTCGCCCTCGGCCGTCCTGCCTCTGGTGGCCGCCCCTGCCGCGCGGCGCTGCAGCCGTCCTCCGTGCCCGGGGCTGGGGCGCTCAAACCCGCCTCCGGGCCCTCGCCTCGGGCTCGCGTCTGTCCGTAAGGGGGGCCCTCAGCCCCGCTCGAGGTCAGCCTTGCCCTCACGGGGCCGGCCCTGCCCACCCTCTCTCCTGAGGTCCACGGCAGGCGGCACCGGCGCCGCACGTCTCAGGCGGGACCCAGGCTTTCCCCATCCTCGGCATGTGCGGCCGGGGTGCCGGTGTGGCCTTGAATGGCCCTGAGTCCCCCAAGCGTCTGCAGCCGCCCCCTGGCCCCGGGGAGTTTCAGGATATGGCCCCTGGAGCAGGCGGGGCGCTGGGCCGAGGGCAGCAGAGGGAAACAGGACCTGGGTCCACAGCTGCCTGTGGCCTCGGAGCAAAGACGGAGTTACCGGCCAACTGGGGCCTGCCCGACGAGCACTGTGACGGCCCGCAGGCCGGCCCTGGCCCCTGGCGTCTCAGGCCCAGTTCAGTGGGGAGGCCGTGGGCCAGGGCGGCTTTCCACGTGAGTTAGAGTTGACGTCAGCAGGAGCTTCAGCCCAGCTCACGTGTGAGCACCCAGGGGCCACAACCGGCATCCTGGGCCCTCGGCTCAAACACCGCAGCCGTCACGGAAGCCGCGGCCCGGTGGGGACGGCAGAGGAGCTCTGTGGTCACCGTGGCCGCTCTCCGTGGCCGCTCTCCGTGGCCGCTCTCCGCGGTTGACAGCGCGCCTGCCCACTCCCCGCCGGTCCCGCAAACACGCCAGCACCTGCTCAGCTCGCTCGGCCGCCGGCCGCCCTCCGCCCCCACGGCCTGGCCCTCCTCTGCCTTCGCCGGGTCCCGGCCTGGCTCCGTCCGGCCCGTCTGACACGCAGAGCCGCCGCGAGGACTCGCCCTGTCTGCGCACGTGGAGGGCCGCGGCGGGGCCGGCGGGGTCTCCTACCTTCACGGCGTACTCGGCGTCGGAGGCCTTGTGGACGCAGCGCTTGCACACGGAGTAGGAGCCCACGCCGATGTCCTCCTTGACCTCGTAGCCGTCAGTGAAGTGGATGTTGTTCCCGTGGAGTTGCTGTGGGGGACAGGAGCTGAGGGGGCTGCTCCGCACCGGCCGCTGGGGCACAGGGGGGCGGCCCCGAGGTCTGCACCGGCCGGCGCTGCGGGTGGGCTGCGCCCGACCCTCCCCCACCCTCGGCTGCTCCCGCCCCTCCCCCACCCTCGGCTGCTCCCGCCCCACACCGAGCGGACTGAGTGGCCGCAGCCCCTGGACGGAGAGGATGGCCTGGAGGCCAACTCCTGGCGTGAAACCTGGCCCGAGGCGCAGGCGCTGTGCTGGCCTGCCCACCCATCCTGTCTGCTCCGCCTGACTCCTCCCCGAGGAACCAGAGCCCCTACAGCGCGTGAGCCTGCACCCAGGTTCCTTCAGAAGTTCTGGGGAGACAGATGGGGGCCCAAAGCCCGCCGCCGACCCAATTCGCTGCTGGCCCCCGCTCAGGCCCGGCAGGTCCTCCGCCCCAGGGGGCGAGGGGGACATCCCTGTGCAAGGCTCCGGCCCCTCCGACTACCTGCACGATGGGGTGGACGCTGGCCTTGGGCGGGTCGTGCTGCGAGGGCTCCTGGGCCAGGCTGGAGGCCACGAAGCTGAAGCCTCTAAACAGGTGGTGGGCGTTGGCGCTGGGGGGCACCCCCGGGGAGTCTGCAGGCAGGAGAGGCCAGTGCCGTGAGGGCAGCGCTGCGGGGCCCCACGGGCCTGTGGGGTGTGGGGTGGGGAGTGCATGCTGGCGTGTGCTGTGGTGTGCGTGAGGCCAGGCGCAAGCGTGGCCTCTGGGGTGAGTGTCTGGGCTGACGGCGCTGGTCAGAAGTGGTGGCAGGCCCTAGGCCAAGCGCTGCCCGCACGGAGACTGCGTCTCCCCACCACGTTGCCCACCCTGCTGCAGACGGCCGCCCACAGGAGCTGGGTGGGGCCACGGTGGGCGGGGAGGCAGGGGTGACTCTGAGCCGGGCCGGACTTGTGGGGGCTTCGCTGCTTCAGGTCGGCCTTAAGCAGGAAGGGTTCGCGCGGCAGGGCCTCAAGGCCGGGGCTGGCGACTAGGAGTGGAGCCCCGGGGAGCGGGGGGGAGCGGGGCCCGAGGAGCCGTGTGACCCAGGTGCTGTGCCCCGGGGCCCAGACCCCGTGTGAGAGGCGGCTCCAAGCACACCCAGTCTCGGGGCCCCCCGCCTGGCCTGGGGGTACCCATCATGGTGAAGGGGGCAACATCCTTTTCACAGACCAACTGGCCCTCGGAGTGGACCCCAGAGCTGCTGTCCAGCCCCGACGTAACCACGGAACTCTGCTTTTCTGCGTACGCCTGGGGAGCAGCTAGGGTGCCGGACACCGCCCGCACACTGACCGCGGGCGTGGGCGTGGGCGAGGGCTGGGGCAGGATGGCCGCCTGGACGGAGAGGAAGAGCCAGCCCTGCCTGCTCTGGGGACCCCAGGCCGAGGCCCTCGCCGCCGCCCCAGGCAGGGGAGGCCACACGAGCACAGAGTGGCGGCCGGAGTGACCTGCTGTGGTGTCCTGAGGGGCCTGAGCATGAGGAGACAGAGGCCCTTCAGAAATGCTCCTCCTTGTCACGGCGGACGGCCTTTTGGGGCCACGCCTGCTGGGGAGGTCGTCCAGGTGCTCGCCAAGCCCCGTGGACACGCCCCGCTCTGCTGAGACAGGCGGTGGCGAAACCTCCCAACAGGCCACTTCCTGCCTGGCGCTGCATGGCCCCGGGGTCCAGACAGCCGTCCCCAGAGCGGGGGTCCCCGGGAAGGACCGCGGGGGCTCGTGGGGCTGCCGCACTGACCTGTGGGGGTCCGGGCTGTGAATTCGGGGTCAAAGTGGAAGGTGTCCTCAGGCCGGCCCACCGCGGGCTTGAAGGGGGGCTTGATCTCCCGCCTGTACAGCTTCTGCAAGGACAGCGGGCGGGGGCGGGGGAGGGAGACGCTGAAAGGGAGACAGAGACACGCAGAGACAGAGAGACAGAGACAGAGACAGAAAGAGCCCACACACCCCACAGAGCCAGGTCCTACTTCCGTTACGGGGAATTGGTTCTCTCTCACGCACACACACGCACACGCTGGCACACACAGGCGCACACGGGCACACACAGGCACACACAGGCGCACACACAGGTGCACACAGGAGCACACACACACAGGCACACACAGGAGCACACACACACAGGTGCACACAGGAGCACACACGCAGGCACACACAGGAGCACACACACACAGGTGCACACAGGAGCACACACGCAGGCGTGCACACAGGTACACACTGGCACACGCAGCCGCACACACAGGAGCACACACACACAGGCGCACACACAGGAGCACACACGCAGGCGTGCACACAGGAGCACACATGCAGGCGTGCGCACAGGTACACACTGGCCCACACAGGCCCACACACAGGAGCACACATAGGCATGGGCCCACATAAGCGCACACACAGTGGCACATAGGCCCACATGGGCCCACACGGGCGCACACAGACGCAGCAGCAGTCGTAGCTTAGCCCAAAGGGAGACGCCTGCTGAGGCTTGCACACTCCAGCCCTCCTCACCCCCGCGGGGCCCAGGGCCAGGACGGTGCAGGGCCTCCCCGGGGCCTGCCCCCCGCTTCACAGCTGTGCAGAACAATCCTGAAACCCAGTGTCCCCCGAGGCCCATCTGCCCAAGGGGCCCTTGGCAGCACCTGGAGTCACGGCTTGGGGTCAGCACATCGCGTGACACCAACACCGTGACCCACCAGCTCTGTTAGGAGGCGGCCAGGATCAAGCCTTTCCGGGACCCCCAGCCGTGGAGATGTGCTCACCTCTGCTGTTCCCTGCTCACCCCGCCCCGACCACCCCACGCCTGCTCTCACGGCCCGGGCCGGTGCCCGCTGCACGGTCGGAGCCGGCGGACATGGGAAGGCCCGGAGTCCGCTGCAGTCCGCAGGCCCCTGCCGGGCCGAGCCCACCCTGAGCCTCGGAGCCCTCCCAAGTGAGAGGGGCCGGCCCGTAGAGGGCTCCGCGCACTCACGTTCCAGTCGACGGTCACGAAGAAGGGGTGCCTCTTGATCTCCTCCACGCCGTCCACGCCGGCCCCTGTCCGGGAAGCAGAGCCGGCCTCAGCACCCCAGCACTCGCGGCGGCCCTGACGAGTCCTGGTTGGGCCCTCCCGGGAGGGGGCCCCCGCGTCGCCTACTCCTGCCTCGCCTCCAGGTGCCGCCACCCACCCTGCAGGGCTGGGGGTGCCCAGCAGGGGAAGGAGGTGGGTGGGAGGCTCAGGCTGGGGGTGCCCAGCAGGGGAAGGAGGTGGGTGGGAGGCTCAGGCCGGGAGCCTCTGCTGAAGGACTGGGGGCCTGGGGACCCAGGAAGAGCCTGCGGTGCTCACGCGCCAGCCCCAGCAGAGAAGCCCCTTAGTGCTGGCGGGGCCTTCCAGGGGAGGGGGCGGGGGCGGAGAGCCCTGCAGGGGAGGGAGAAGGAACACAAGGGGCGGGGCCCAGCAGGACGGCCCCTCCGTGCCCTGCGGACAAGCCCCCCTCCGCCGGGGCACCAGGCAGGCCCGGACGCGTGCACAGAGGGCCTGGGCTGCCCGCAGTACCGTGCTCCGGGGCAAACGCACCCGTGGAGGAATCACAGGGGCCGGCGCCCGACTGCCCTCGCCGTGGACGCCCAGAGCTCGGGTGGGCAGACGCCCCACAGCCCGGGCCGGCCAGGAGCAGGCGGGGCGGGAGCCCGCTCTGCCAGACCCAGGGGCTCCCTTGCGTCGCCCAGCGCGTGTCCACCCTGACCACAGGTCCCGTCTGGATCTCTCCCCGACCTGAGCTCTGGCCTCTGGCTGCTGCTCCCCAGCACCCGCAGCGCCGGAACGGGCAGCCAGCCCAAGGAAGGCGCCGCCCGGCAGCATCTACGGGCGCGTCCTCCTGGGGTGAGGGCGGATCCGGCCCACAGACGCTGTCCTGCACAAAGGGGGGCGGGGATGCCGGCCACGCGTGCCGCCTCCAGGACTTTCTAGAGACACAGGGACCGCTGCAGAGCATGGGGGTGCCCACACGAGCACCCCCGGGCTCTGGGGGCCTGTCAGCATGGTGAGGACACGCCCAGGTGCCGTGCCCAGGGCTCCCCCGCTGCCTCCCTCGCGGTCGCCTTTGTCACAGGGGCCGGCGCCTCGTGCGCGCGTCCGCAGGGGCACTGCGCGGGAGCTGAGCCGCGGGACGCGGGGGGCAGGGCCGGCGAGGTCCCCCGGGGTGCACGCCCCGGTCTGTGGGACACCTGGCAGCTTCGCCACCGCACTTTCCCCGAGGCTCTGAGGCCTCGGGCTGTAGACAACAGTGCGTCCGCGCCGTGGCCGTTCCGCTGACATCGAGGGGCAGGGAACCGAGGCCGGACCGGGCAAGCGCATCGCCACGGCAACCAGCGTGCGCGGAGGCTCTGCGGACCCAACGGGGGCACACCTGACAGACGGCACGTTCGCCAGCAGAGCAGGGAACTGTCTCTCTCGTGCGATTCAGAGCGAGACCCGACACGGAGGCTCGCTGGTCCCGTAAGGAGGCTCGGACATCCAGTGGCCGAGAACAGCCAGGACAGGTGCTTGGGCAGCCCAGCCAGGCCTGCCGCCCATGCCCCAGGTGCCTGGCGCCCAGAAGGCATGGATGGGGACATCAAGGGGGCCGCAGTGCATGTGTCCAGTCCAGCACATGTCCAGGCTCTGCAGGCCCGTGTGGACGTGATCTCGTCCTGCTCAGTGTTTCGCCTCCACGCGGGTGTCTGGACCAAGCTGCGGGGGGGTGTCGTCAGGTCTCTGCCTGCGCCTGGGCACTCGTCAGGCTGGCACGGGCTGGCACGGGCCGGGCACCACGAGGCCCCGCCCTCGATGTCACAGGCACGGCCTGAGATGCCACCCAGGGTCCTTGCCAAGCGGGCCTGCTCCTAACACAGCAACCCCTGGACCACTGCCACAAGGACGCCTACTCGCGCTCCTCCACAGGGTCCAGCTCCTCCACAGGGTCCAGCTCCTCCACAGGGTCCAGCTCCTCCACAGGGTCCAGCTCTTCCACAGCGAGTACATGGCTAGGGTCCAGCATCCAGGGCGCCTCCGCAGGCAGAGCGGAGCAGAGGCCGTGTGATGGCCACCCCCCACCTCTGGTTAAAGGCTCCCGGCAATCAGATGGGCAGCGTCCCTGGGCGGCGTGACTGATGTGGCTGCAGTCCCTTCCGTATACTGAGCCTGGCTCGCCTGCTGTGTCCTGACGCTGCAGGGCTGTGGCCTCCGTGGCCACGCAGGATCTCCCCGCAACCAGCCAGGGGGCCTCGCTGACCGCATCCCTCAGCCCTCCCTGGCAGCAGGACTGAGCTCCTTTGTCCCCAGCCCTCAACCCGCAGGCCCTGCCCCCTCGGGACTGGGCGACCGCTGTGCGGTCCTTCCTGTCTCCTCACTAACCGGCTTGCAGGTGCCTCCTTCTTTCCCGAAGCCTGGTGCTGGGGTACAGGCCGGAGTTGTCCAGTGTCCGAGGGACGCCTGTGCCTTTCTCAGTCCCTCCCGCCCCATACGTGTGCGGCCTCTACGAGCCAGGACGGGGCAGCAGCTCAGGCTCTGCCCTCTCGGGGTGTCCTGCACGAGGGGGGCCTCCCATGCTGGCCTGGAGCCGGTGCTCTCACCTCTGCCCCATACCCGGCCTCACTCCCAGGGCCAGCGCCCAGCACCCAGCGCCGGGAGGGGGTCCAGCCAGCGCGGAGCACGGGAGCCAGGCCTCGGCTCTCCCGGAAGAGGGGACAGACACAGCCCCTCGTCCATGTGATGTGACGCCTGGAGCTGCAGCAGCCACTCTGAGCGCGGCGGCCCACGTGAGGAGGGCGGCGGGGGCACCGAGGCTGGCTCGTGCCAGAGACCACGCAGCTGCGAGCCGAGCTCACCGCCCACCCTGCAACGCGGCCTGTCAGTCGGGCAAATGCACCGCAGCGAGAACGTCAAATTCGTTGGGTTCAACGGTTTTACATTATTTAAGTGCTCTGGCCCCGAAGCCAAGACAGGGCGGGGCCAGCGTGGGGGCGCCCGCGGCAGAGCAGGCCAGCTCTGCTGCCCTCCAGGCCCACAGCCCTCGCCCGCGCTGGCCACTGCGTCCACCCCATGTCCTCGTCAGTGCCACGATGCCCCCGCTGGGCAGCAGGGCTTGGGGTGTGCGGAGAAGGGGAGCGGGAGGACCGCGGCAGACATTCAGCGTCTAATAATTACGTTGCAGACAAACTGCCATTTACAGGCGACTGTGGAAACAGTTATTTTGAAAAGGAACCGGCTCTAGATTAATGATCACGTAAATCTCAATTTAATAGATTGGAAGACCCCCTGACGTAAGAGGGTTTAATTGAATTTAATGGGAAGCGGTTTGCGGCTGTTCTGTCCTCGGACCCCGGCGCTCGGGAGGGAGGTGGCCAAGACGACCCTGAGCGGCCACCCTGGGAGAGGGCGGCTTCCCCGTGGCCTCCGCTCCCACGCCCGGGTCTCCGGAGGAGCGTGCAGCCCCCACCTCACGCCCTTCGGCCCCTGCGGCCCTTCACCACCGGTGAGCCTGGGACTGGCAGGCGGGCGAGAGCTGCATGGAGCACCCGCACCCCACGCCCCCAGGAGACCCGCGCCCCAGGGGTCCCCAGGCGTCCCCGTGTCCCCAGGCGCCCCACAGCCCAGGGCTCAGCCTCTCACCCAGCCGGTTGCTTGGGTTCCGCTTGAAGAGCGCTCGGAGCAGGCTCTGGGCCTCGGCGCTGAGGAACTGCGGCATGCCCAGCTTGGCCCTGGAAGACAGCGGCCCGGTGAGCGCGCAGCGAGCGGGCACTTCCCTCCAGCCTCCCGCCTGGCCCTCCGGGCCACGACAGAGAAACGCAGCCCCAGCGCCTGGGAGGGGGCGCAGGTCCTGGCCTTCCTGGCGCATGAGTCCCCGGGGCCCCCACACGGGCCACATCACATCTGGAGTCTCCTTGGCTTGCTGGAGTCTCTCGCCTGCCTCTGGGCCTGGCCTGCTGGGCACTGAGAAGGACATCTGGACAAGGGGAACCTGCAAGCTGGGGCCCCGGGGTCCTCCCAGCACACTTGGGTGGGGCTGCTAGTGACAGACCCGAGGCTCAGGGACGGGCTCTGGGCGGCCCGCGGGGAGGAAGCCTCTGCCTGCGGGTGGGAGGAGCCGACGGAGCCCCGTGACCCGGGCAGCGCCCCACGGCCTCCCCGGTCTCCCTCTGATGCCTGCTCAGGCGGCGCCCGCCCTGTGTCCCAGCAAGCAAGGGCGCCGGGCAGCCGGGGCCTGCGGAGGCCTCTCCCTGGACTCGGGGAGGAGCGCCTGTGTGTGGACCCGGCAGCGGCTAGTCCCGCGACCCGGACAGGACAGTGGCTCCTGGGGGCGGGCAGGACGGAGGGAGACCACACCCCGCCTGCCTAACCCTGTGCCCCGCAGCGGCCGGCCTGGGCAGCTGTGCCTGGCGGAACCGCACCACGTCCAGGACGTCGTCGGGACACTGGTCACCCGCGCGCGGGCCGGCACCACCGACCCCAGGGTGCCAGGCGTGGGTCACGCTCCTGCCGACGCCCACCCAGAACCGCGCTCCGGGCGCCACCCCTGACCCCGCGGCCGCGACCTCGGGCGCGTCCCGGCAGGACCACTCACTTGAGGATGAGGGCCATGGTCTCCTTCCGGTCCTTGCCCTGGAACGGCAGCGAGCCCGTGAGCATCTCGAACTGTGGGCACAGGAGGGCAGCGTGACTCACGGAAGGAGGGGTCGGCGCCCGACGAACACGCAGCCCCGGCTCCCTCCGCAAAGTCCGCCAGCGAGTGCCCGGCGGAGGACGCCCCCCGGGGCTGTGGGGGAGCGTGGGGGGCGGGGTGGATGTGGGGGCCCGGGGGCGGGGGGGCGGCTCACCATGAGCACCCCGAAGGACCACCAGTCGGCGCTCTGCGCGTGCCCCCGCCGGCTCACCACCTCGGGCGCCATGTACTCCACGGTCCCGCAGAAGGAGTAGGCTCTCTTGTCGTGGTCGATGGCCTCCTTGCTCAGCCCGAAGTCTGAGGCAAATACACAGACGCCTTCGCCCCGCGGCTGCCGGCCTGCGCCCTCCAGCGAGGGCCAGCACCACGGGGCCTGCCCGCGGCCTGAGCCTCGTGCGTCCCGGGACCCGCGGCCCTCCGCGTCCCCCTGCAGGCCGGAGCGGCACTTCCCCCGGCTGTCCCAGGCACCCTCTGAGGTGGGACACGCGGGGGCACCAGGGTGCGAGGGCAGGTCAGACCAGGGGCAGCGAGCACCCCGGACCCGCCCCACCCCACCCCACCCCCAGATGTGACTCGAGTCCAAGCCCGGGCGCCCCAGACGGCACCGCCAGGCACACGGGGCCCGAGGAGCTCGAGGAAAGCCGAGCTGCTGGGAAACCTAACGAGCCGAACTTCTCCACACGAACGGGCCCTTAAAACAGCTCAGCCGCGTTCAGTCTCCCCGCGCAGCCGCGAGGTTTGAGGGCGCCTAGGCAGCGGGGTCACGGCCGTAGTCACCAGGATGTGGGGAGATGCAGGCGGTGGCAGTGCAGTGAGAGCCCTGGGGCAGGGGGGAGGGAGGCGAGCGGGGGAGTAGTGGGGGGGCAGGGGAGGGGCTTCGGAGGAGGAGGAGGTGAGAAGGGGGAGAAGCAGGGGGAAGGCAGGAGCCCAGAAGCAAAGAAGCAGGGCAGGGAAGGCCCAGGGAAGAAGTGGGGGGACAGGGGCCTCACAGGGTGGGGACAGAGGTCAGTGCGCCCCAAGGCAGTGGGGCCAGGGCCGGGGAGGGCTGCAGGGGCAGGGCGGCCACTGGCCAGGGCAGCAGGTTCGCCCTGGAGTCTGTCCAGAGTGGCCCTCGGCCTGCGGACCTTGGGTTCAGCCCCACGAGAACCAGTGTGGGCAGGAGGGCGCACAGGGACGCCATGGCCACCGTGAGGTCGTGCGGCTCATGACACAGAAGAGGCCCCGACGGTGACGGGCCAGTGTCCCGTTTTTGGTTTGACTGAGCTTGGTGGCGGGGCAGACGGTGGGCAGGCGGCGGCCCAGGGCCCCAGCGGGCACCTGAGGCGAGGCGTGGACACTTGCCTGCCCGAGCTTGGGGCGCAGGCAGGGGAGACGCCGGCAGGGCTGGGGCAGAGGGGTGAGGGCACTGGCGCGAGCACAGGCAGCGGTGGACAGTGGTCACGCAGCCGGTCAGCAGAGGCAGGCAGGACAGAGGCCTTTGCGCCGAGTGGCCTCTGGTGCTCAGGGCTGAGTCACGGGAAGGGCTTCCTTCACTCACCCGTGATCTTAATGTGGCCCTCCTCGTCCAGCAGGATGCTGAAAGACAGTAGCAGGGCGGGCTTTGGAGGAGGAAGGACGGCGGGGTGGGGGGTGGCCTCGGGGGTGCCCTGCTCAGGCCGTGGCCTCCGCCGGGCGGGTGCGGGCTCGGAGGAGCGGCTTCTGCTGGTCAGGCGGCCCCGCGGCCGGGGAGGGGAGTGCGGGAGAGGGGATCGTGGCGATGGACCGTCTGCTTTGCAACCTGAGGCGTCTGGGCCGGACGTGCAGGGGCTGCAGCGCACGGGACACTCAGCCTGGCTGAGCTCTCGGACGGGTCGGCCATGCGCCGAGGCCTGGGTTTTGGTGCGAGCACCTCCCTGGGGGCCAGACACAGCGGAAGGGACAGGCGGGAGCACGTCGTGCAGACGACACTGTGTGAGGAGACGCGCCTCTGCTGCCCTAACCTCTGCCCGGAAACGAGCCGCTGTCAAGGCAGCTGCCTGCTAGTTCCCATGAGCGACTGGGTCTTTTCCCCCAAAGCTGCCTTAAAGGAAGTCACACTCTCTAGCTGTAAAGGTCCCTCTGACCGTGGACAAGAGCACGGCGGGTGCCTGGGGCTCGGCCTCAGCCTCCCGGCAGCGCTGGGCGCGGCCTGCGCCTTCCTCAAGGACATGGCGGCGTGGGGGGCTGCTCTGCACAGGGGCTCGGGCCCTGGGTTGGCACTGGTCTCCGCGCAGCTGCACACGCATCCACCACCGCGGGGCAGCCCTGATGCCTCCTCAGGGACGCCGCACCAGGCACCCGCCGGGGATGAGGGCGCCCCCCTGGCTCAGGGGGGCCAAGAGGAGCCTGGAGGGGTGGTCCGGGCCCCCTCCCACAGCTGGTTCATGCCCCCCGGCTCCCCTCGCCCAGGCCGGGGCTGGCTGGACGGTGGCCTCGAGGGTGCCCTGGGGGCAGCGAGCAGTGAGTGAGAAGCCAGCGGCCTCGCTGAGGCTGTGGGGCTGGCAGAGCAGCCTGGCCTCTCCGCCATTGTGGGGACCGGCCTACTCTCGCCTCGGCTCAGGCAAACAGCAGGCAGAAACCCGACACGGGGGCCAGCGCTTCCGAAGGTCACCTTTCACCTTGAGCAGGTGAGCAAACACGCCGGGGCAGCCGCACCAGGGCGCGGCCACCGCCACGCCGGCCCTGCTGGAGCTGCCCCGGAGTCGCCTGTCGCCTTTGAGAAAAGTCCTAGACCATCCTCCAAGGCAGGGGGCAGGGGCCGGGGGTGCGGGGGGGAGCAGGGCGGGGAGACAGGCCGGGTGAGGGGGCCTTGAGGGCACCTGCGTGGCGAGCAGCTGGGGAGGGCGGGCAGGGAGGGGGACAAGGATGGCGGCCCAGCCTCCTACGACTGCCCAGTCTCTCCAGTCCCGGACCTGGGTCCTGGCCGCGCCCCCAGAGACGGAGGGCCAGGGAGAGCGTGCCGGGACCGTCCTTACAGCCACTCCCTGTAGCGCCAGGCAGGCAGAGCCCACCGGGAAGCCTGCGTGAGAGGAGGCCCTTCCTGCACGGGCTGTCCCCCCACGGGCTGTCCCCCCACGGGCTGTCCCCACACGAGGCTGTCCCCACACGGGCTGTCCCTGCACAAGGCTGTCCCCACTCGGGCTGTCCCCCCACGGGCTGTCCCCCCACGGGCTGTCCCCACACGAGGCTGTCCCCACATGGGCTGTCCCCACACGAGGCTGTCCCCGCATGGGCTGTCCCCGCACGGGCTGTCCCCGCACAAGGCTGTCCCCGCACAAGGCTGTCCCCCCATGGGCTGTCCCCGCACGAGGCTGTCCCCGCATGGGCTGTCCCCGCACAAGACTGTCCCCGCATGGGCTGTCCCCGCACGGGCTGTCCCCGCATGAGGCTGTCCCTGCACGAGGCTGTCCCCACTCGGGCTGTCCCCCCACGGGCTGTCCCCACACGAGGCTGTCCCCACACGGGCTGTCCCCACACGAGGCTGTCCCCGCACGGGCTGTCCCCACACGAGGCTGTCCCTGCCTCCTGAAATGCACTCACTCGGGAGTCCGGAGCAATGGCATGGCGGGGAGGGGGACCCCACTGGCTCCCACTTACTTTTCGGGCTTCAGGTCTCTGTAGATGACCCCCAGGCTGTGCAGGTGGTCCAAAGCCAAGGCCAGCTCGGCCAAGTAGAACTTGACGTCCTCCTCGGTGAACATCACCTGGGCGGAGAGCACACGGCGTGGCGGGCCCAGCACAGCGTCCGGCTCCCGCCACGAGTGACTGCATCCGGGTGGCAGCTCAGCGGGGGCCGGGGTCCCGCAGGAGGCGAGTCGGGGAGCGTCCCCGCCTGGCCCCCGCCCCGCGTCTGCGGCTCCGCATGTATCTCTGGCTCCTCTCACAGGACACGTGGCATGTGAGCGTGTCGCGTGTCAACACACGTGACCACGCCAGGGCGTCACCCCGGCCACCTGCTCTCTGCCCAGAGGGGTGGGTTCCAGCGGCATGTCGCGTGTGGAGTCGGCGGGTCGGTGGGGAGCTGGTGGACAGGGGCCGGCGGGCCAGGCTCAGGCTCGGGCCGGGCTGTGGCGTTCTCGCTCCTGACTGTCCACCTCTACTCTCGCCCATCTGTCCATGCCTCTGTGCACCTGTGCGTCTGTGTCTGTCTGCCTGTCAGTCTGTCCTTCCACCCGGCTAGTTACCTGTCATCTGGTCATCTGCCTACTTACCACCCACCACCCACGTACCTCTTTGGAAAGCCTGGTGAAGAGGTCCCCTCCCCGCAGGAAGTCCAGGATCAGGTAGAGCTTCCCCTCCGTCTGAAAGGCTGCGGACAGCGAGTGGCGGTCAGAGACCATGGGCCCACCGTGGGCGTGCCCCCCCCTCGGGCTCTGCAGGAGAGCCCCCGCTGCTCTGGCCGCGGAACAGCGCGTGCAAACTCTGTGCGGTGTGTGTGTGTGTACACGGCATACGTGTGCACCGCGTGCTGTGGGTGATGCCTCCCGCACACCGTGTGATGACACACGCAGTGCACACAGTGCGTACCGTATGTGCTGCACGCTGTGTGGTGTGGACACACGCGGTAACTACACAGGGTGTGCATGCTGCATGCCATGTGTATACAGTGTGCACCGTGTCATACCATACGCTGTGATGTGTATGGACACTGCGTGTGCATGACATGTGCTATGTGTATGGGATACATGTACGCTGCATATTACACACTGTGTGAAAGTGTACACTGCGCACGTTACATGCTGTGGATAATACAGTGTGTGTGCCGGGTGTGTCATGTGTATGTGTGTGCACTGCATGTGTGTGCTGTATGTGCAGTGTGTATGTGCTGTGTGCTGGAGTGTGTGCTCTGTATGGGGGGTGTGTTGCGTATGGGGCGTGTGTGTGCTGGGTGTGTGCTGTGTGCTGTGTGGGGTGTGTGCTGTGTGGTGTGCAGGGTGTGATCCGGGGAGCGGCTCCAGCTGCCTGGGGGGCCTCCCCCACCCTGGTTACCGTAGTGCAGCTTCACGATGAAGGGGTGGTTCACTTCAGCCAGAATGTCTCTCTCCATCTTGGATCTGACCCGGTCCCGAACTGCGAAGCGGAGAAGCTGAGGTTCTAAGCGGCAGAGCCGAGCGCTGCCCGCGGCTGGAGCCCGCACGCCCCGTATCCTCCCCGGCTCTGCTGGCGAAGCTCCCCACACAGCCAGGGGGACGGACGACCAGGAAGTAACTACCAAATGCCCCCTTTGCTCACCTCACCCCCCAACATTTCAGCCTAAAATCTGACAGTAGATTGTGATCCACCGTGACCTTCAACCCTGGGTGGCTGTGCAGGCAGCGTCCCCCAAGGGCACCCACTCCCCGCTCCTGCCATCAGGCACAGCAGGTCGTGGCTCACGCAGCTGCGGCTCTGTGGCTGCTTCTAGGATGGCCGCACCCCCGTCGGCGCCAGCTGCTCCCCGGACACCCCGCAAAGGCCCGACCAGCAGCTTACAGATACCCCAGTTCCGAGCCCACGACCCGAGGCAGGTCCGGCGCCTGGGAGAAGCTGAACACCTGGGCCACGTGCCCCTGCCCGCCCTGCCAGCAGGGGCTCGCCAGCATCACCCACTTCCCTCCAGGACCCGAGGAGCCAGCACGGCCCTCAAAGCCAGAACGAGGCATGGCCGCTGGGCTTAGAGTTGACTTACGGGTGACCCCTCGCTCCACCCGTCCTGGCCGGGGCACGACCGGGGTGCCCTCCACTCCCGGGCCACACATGGGCCACAGGTGTCCCTGCACACCTGCCGGGGGCACACCTGCCGGGGGCACCTGTGTGCTTCCTGGAGGGTGGCGGCGCAGCGGGCAGCTGGGAGCCACGAGGACCATGTTTAAAGCCCTTCTGAGCAAGCGCTGGGAAGCGTCCAGACGCCCCTCGCTTAAAAACGTCCCCTCAGTTTTTATTCCTACGGCAGCACCGTTCAGTGACGAGACTCGTTTATAAAAATCGAGGGAAGTGAACCCTGCTTCCTCCCCGCTCATGTTCCTGCACACCTTCTCATCGCCCTTTGAACGGCAGTTGTTTAAAATCTCACGAGCACGAGGCGCTCGGAACACTCGGCAAGTTCCACGCCAAGGCGTGTAGGAGTCCAGCTGCCGGGACGTGAGTGGACACAGGACCACGACGTGGCCGGCGCTCAAGGCACCGGGACCCCCACGGCACCTCCAGCTGCCACAGCTGCTCTGAGTTTCACGGGCCCCAAAGTCTCGGTCAGGAGCCCCCCAGCTCCTACTGCTCTTGATGGACCCGCCACCCAGGGGCGCACCCCACTGCTGGGTTCCCCTCCAGCCAGCTGCACCCCATCTGCCCTCCACTCACGGCCTCAGTCCCCCCAGCCGCAGTCACCACAGGAGCCTCCCCTCTGCAGGACGGGGCCACGTGGTGCCAACGCCCCACCCTGCTGGTCCCTGCACCCCTGGGCAGCCCCCGGGGCTGACACGGCTGCCCAGTGCCCAACTGAGGCTCCCCACTGTGGCAGAGATGGGGTGGACCCACCCCCTCCTCTCCACCCCCCACCAGGGGACGTTGAGCCGCCCCCGCCCGTTCCCTGCCCATGCCCCACCGGGCGGCGTCCCTCCAAGCGCCCCGTCCCCGGGCTGTGGGCGTCTGTGGGGCTGGCCCCTGTGAGCTAGAGGGCCGTCTCGCCGCGTCCTCCATGGCTCCAGAAGTGGGGGGCAGATGCTGTCCCAGGGGCGCCTGGCGCTCACCTTTCAGCGTGGCCTTCTTTAGCACCTTCATGGCGTAGAGCTGGCCGGCGTCGGAGCCCTGGGCCTTCCGCACCAGGAACACCTGTCGGGACACAGGCGTGGGCGCGCGCGACGCCCGGCGCGCCACCTGCTTTGACAGGTGGCAGGCAGGGAGCCCAGACGGCGGCCGCGTGGCGGTGAGGTGCGGGAGCCTGGATCCACAGTCCTGGCCGCCCGCCGCCGGAGCCCCGCCTGCGACCCCGGGGAGAGCCACGGGTCCCCAGACGTGCTATGAGAGGGTACAGCAGGTGACACCCCCAAACACCAGCAGGTGCGCAAGTCCTAGGGAGCTGTGAGTCCTCCGGGGAAGACCCCGCGGGGCCCCGTGACACACAAGGACCCGCCAGACACCGCGTCTCTTCCTGCGCGCTCGGCCCTGCCCGGCCCATCGTGCCAGGGCAGGGGCCGCCTGGCGTCCTGAGGGGACAAGCTCTGGGCGGCGGCATGTTCTGGTGAGGGACAGAGCAAAGCCCCCTCCCGTGAACCGGGGTGCCGAGCAAGTGTCTCTGGGGGTGCCCCAGCCCCGCCTCCCCAGCCCTGCTCATTGCCGCTGGTCGTGTCCTGAGATCCGGGGTCCACGGGCGGGTGGGCTGGGGGTGAGCACCGGCGGGAGGGGGCGCCGGGCCGCGGGGAGAGGCAGCTGCCTCCACTGGGCAGGGAGGGCAGCCACATGTGGGGGTGCCTGCGGGCAGCCCCGAGTTTGGGGGCGCGGGCAGGGGCTCCGGGGCGATTGGCCCCCCAGGGGACACGAAGACGCACCCCTGGCAGGCTGGCGAGGAGGAGCCGGGGCAAGGCCCTTGAGGCCGAGCTGACCATCTCACGTGTGGCCCCGACTGCTGCTGCCTCCTGGGCGCCTGAGGTCACAGCTCCGGGGTGCCCGTGTCACCCCACTGCCCCCCAGCGCACCCTAGGCCGCTCTGCCACTGGAGGGGGCTGTCCTCGGTGTCCTGTCCATTTGCAGCCCCGCCCCGGACGTGGCTGGACTGACCACTGTCCCTGCCATTCCAGCAAAGTGTGCTGCGGCTCGCCGCCGGCAGGAGCGGCCCTCGGCAGGCGTGATGAGCAGCGTCCATGCTCCCGCCAGGACACCCGGGCCCCGGCCGCACCACTCTCTGGGGAGCAGAGTCAGGCTGAGGGCGAGGTCAGGGCCGTGCCTGGGGAGAGGCTGTGGACGGCCCGGCTGGCTGGCGTCCAGCAGGCAGGGCTGGAGGGCCAGCGACACAGGCGGCCGCTCCCTAGTGCCCAGTCTCCAGCATCTGCCGTCTCCGAAGGGGAGACAGAGGCTGGGGGCCGCTGTCCGGGACACCCCAGCAGCCGTGCTCCTTGGGCTCAACCGGCCCCTCCACGGGCCTTCGGGACTGCAGCCTGGATGGGGCTCGGCTCAGGGAGGCCTCCCCAGAGGGCGCCGACCGCCTTACCTTCCCGTAGGACCCTTGTCCCAAGACCTTCAACAGCTCGAACTGGGAAGGGTCGGCCTTCTCGCACCCGTCCTTCACATGGTGGCTGATGTCGATCTCCTTCACCAGGCCCTCCTCCTGCAAGACAGCGGCGCGGGTGAGCGGCGGGGCGGCCTGCGGGGGACGGCGGGGGGAGCGCGGCTGTGAGGGGCCTCCGGGGCTGGAGCTGCGGCTGTGTCTGACCCGCCCCGGCTGTGTCTGACAAGGCTGCCTGCAGGTCCCGCGGCCAGGGAGTCTCTCCTCTCCTCGTGGATTTTTGCCGTCGGGCCTCACCAGACCTCGGGCCCCAGCAACAGCGCCCGGCTTCAGGCGGGCTGGGTGGGAAGGGGCGCAGCGAGCCCTGAGGACCTGCTCTCGTCTGGGGGCGCAAGGTCCTGACAGCTCCTGTGCGTGAGGGGCCGCCCACCTCAGCACCCACACTGCACAGCCAGTGGCCCTGGGGCTCCGACGGCCAGTCCCGCCCGCAGCAGGCTGGCACCGTCCCACAGACAGGCCGCTGAGGACAGGCCGGCGAGGCCTGCAAGACTCCCAGAGCGACCACGTGGACCACGTCCACGGAAGGACCGCAGGTGACCAGAACTGCTGCCCCAGGCAGTCACGTCACTGCATGGGCCAGGAGTGGGGCCGGGGGTGTCCCGGGCTAGGGCCAGGGGTGTTGGCCAACGAGGGGGCTGCTGACAGACGGGGCCCAGAGCCTGGGTCTGCACTCTGCACGCTCGTGTGTGCTTCCTGTGTGCTTCCTGGAGACCCCAGACGCCCCGGGTGGTTGCTGTTAGGAGGGACAGAGGCCTGAGGGCGGCCCCACGGCCCTCTTCTGCAGGTCTGCCATCAGTGGAGGGTCTTATCCTTGGGGAGGGAGGCTGTAGCGTCCAGCAGGTGCCCAGGCCCGGGCATGGCCACCAGCGCCCCGCCCCCTCTGGAACACCCAGGACCAGGGGTTCCCTCCACCGAGATCCTGGGGCTCCGCCAGCGCCCCCGCCTGGAGCGCCCACCTTAAAGCTGGCTTCACCTTTCTACAGACGGGGACATCGGGCGGCCCCCGGGCTCCCGCCCTGCCCTCCCGCCCCCTTCCCGCGTCAGCACGTCAGCCCTGCACAGCGAGGGTCTAGACACGCGTCTCTGCCCAGACCCCAGCTCGGGTGGATCCTGCCGTTGAAGCCTTGAGAGCGGATGCCCCAGAGCACACATCCCATTCCCCCCCATTCCCCCCCATTCCCCCCCATTCCCCCCGAACGGCCTAAAGAACGTCGGGCCGTCGCGCCCAGGAGCTGCGGAGTTCATCTGTCATTCACATCCAGCAGGTCTCTCCCAGCGAGGAGCCTCAGCCACCCCGGGAGGGCGGAAGAGGCCAATCTCAGGTAAAGCTCAGGGTGCGGGTTCAGAGCGGCCGTAAACTTGCCTGAGGATATTTTCTTCTTCTCTTCCCCCGACAGAGCCTCCCACGACGCCCGCCAGGCCCAGGGAGGCGGCGCATGCCCGGCGCACGGGCGGCGTTCGGGGGCGCTGTGCAGGGGCCGCGGGGACGAGGCCGAGCGGGCGTGCGCGTGGTGGCGACCCAGAGCAAAACACCGACGAACGCGGCGGACACCAAGACTGGAGCGAGGCTGGGGGGCCGCGAGGGGCACGAGGGCGAGCGAGAGCAGAGCTGCCCGGCCCGCTGCTCCCAGGGCAGAGCCGCGGCCGCGAGCCGGCGGGCAGGAGGCGGCAGGACCCCGGGGGGCACTCTGGGTTGTGTGAGATTAACACGAACCCTCACACCGATGAAGCAACACAGACCCCAGGCCACACCACCACAGGCGCACCCCCGCGCGGGAGGCTGGCGGGAGGCACGTGCCCTGCCCGAGACCCCCCGGGGGGCGCGTGGACCCCGCCCTGGGACCTCAGTGACTCAGTGACTGTTTCAGGGCAAGAAGTGATTTTGGAATCCATCTGGCAACTCGGAAAGGCCCTTTACAAGATTTCACATCAGAGAAGGCGGCAAATAAACTGCACGTCGCAACGGCCCCGGCGCCGGCAAGAGGCGTGGGCAAGCGTTTATGGGAAACGCATCAAGACCTGGAAGGTGAGGACACAACAGGAACAGGAAAAATTAATTGTCCTTCGTTTGTTTTCTCATTTCCTACAGAAACAGAAACAATCGCGGAGACCTCCTCCCCTCGCGGCCGTCCGGGGCCCGCGCTCCCACCGCCACGCGCAGACCCCAGCGCAGGGCAAGGCGCTGGCAACGCTGCGTCCTGAGGCAAACACACCAAGTGACTTGTCGCGAGAAACAAGAGACGGAGGCCGACGCTGGACGCCGTTTTCGGATGTGAAAACTAAACCTACCGTTTGCGAAGAGAGAAAGGCGCGCGTGCCGCGCTACCAGATGCACCCCGAGACGCACACGGGAGGCCCCCGCGGGCTGCGCGGACATCTCAGCCGGGTGCAAGGCGGACGCCCCTCCACGCACGGCCTGAAGCGGACACGCACCGTCCAGCCTGGCCAGCAGCCGGGGAGTCCAGAGTGTTTTTCTGGGAGGCAGGTGTGGGGGTGTCAGTTACCAGCAGCCAACACACACACACACGCACACACACACACATACGCGAGCGCGCGCGACAGCCATCTAGACGTGACACGAGAGCCGAGGCTGCCAGGCGAGTGGACGGCTGCGTGTCATGGGACGCGTGTGCTGGCCTTAGCTTCTAGGTGTTTTTTTCTTGAATCGTCATTCATGGCAAGTCGAGAAACATCAGCTGCAGTGACGTGTCCCGCTCGTGCTGCCCGGCACCCTCCCTCCTGGGGGTGCAGGGCCCCTGCAGAAGGGCCCGGAGCAAGGGAAGAGCTGGATCTGCCAACACTTTGGTTCCAACGGTTTTGTTAGTTTTCTTATAAAAACAGACCGTCCCAGTCACGCCTGGAGAAGCCGGCCCGGGGCTGTCAGCGTTTCAGACAAAGGACACGCAGCCACCCGCTGTCCCCCGGCCGCCCCGCCACACTCTGCTCCTGTCCTGGGGATTCTTACAAACAGCACCCAGGCCACACCACTGGGAACTTCAGAGTTAAGTTTGGATAACTTGGGTGGTGCACCACTAACAAAATACTAGAAGCAATGAATGAAAGCCGTAAACGGCAGGCTACAAAACCAGCGCGTGATATTTTGCTGCGTTCTTATATGAAAGTTCATGAGAAGAAAAGCAAATGAAGAAAACAACCCAATTTCAAAGAGGAGAAAAATGAAGGTGTCGTGTTACTGAACTTTAAGCTACATTACAAAGTGAGAATAATTAAAACCCTACGGTATTGGCTAAAAATAGACACATGGATCAATAGGATCAAATCGTGATCCCAGAAATAAAGTGACACACGTACGACACTTAATCTATGACAAAGGTGCCAAGAGCACATGATGGAGGAAGGAAATGCTCTTTAAGAAATGGTGTTGGGGGCCTCCCCTGGTGGCACAAGCAGTTGAGCGCGTGCTGTGGGGCTGCCCGCAGCCTCTGCAGCGCCGGTTCAATCCCAGCCGGCCGGCAAGGGTCCCACATGGCGCAGCAGACCTCTCCTGCCGCCCGCTGCTCCCCTCAGCAGTGTCCTTCGGTCCTTCTGCCTGCTCTGCTCCCCGCTCTGGCTCTGGTGAATTCTCTCACCCTCCCGCACTTCTGACTGTGCCCAGTGCTTGTACAAACAAACAAACAAACAAATAAATAAATAAATATACATGCCTCTTAAAAAAAAAAAAAAAAAAAGGAACAGCGCTAGGGAAATTGGACAGCCACATGCAAAAGAATGAACCTGGATGCCTCTCGAGCTCCCCCCACAGGCACAAGCTACAGAACTGGATGGAAAAACCAAAATCGAAATATTGGGTTGTCAGAAAAGTCATGACACATTTTTGCTTGAAAACCAGAAAAAACACAGCACGACTTTCCTGACAACTCAACAGAGAGAAGAAAACAGGGGACACCCCGTGACAGCTGCAGCAAAGGCATCTTGGGGGCTCGACCCCGAGGGAAGGGGGCAGAGACCATGTGAAGATGCTCCCGCCGGCAACAGAAGACAACAGCAGGAGGAGCCTGGGGGGAGGCGCTCGCACCCCGCGCCCCGCAGAGCCGGCAGGCGGTCAGCATCACACGGAGACTCAGGAAACTCAACAGCAAAATGACACTTAAAGTACAGCGAGGAGATGGGAAGCCACGCGTTTCCACGGCAACCGACGGGCAGCAGCGCACGAACACATGCTCACGGCACTGGCGCCCGGGAGGCGCCCCCAAACCCGAGCCGCCTTGCCCCGGGGGCCGCTCGCATGGAGGGGCTGGTATCAGATGGCCAGAGAGCGGGGCCAGGGCCCTCGCGCGTGCAGGCAGGGCGGCTAGCGCCGCCGACTTGTAAGCACCGCGGAGCTCCGTCAACAGGCAGGCGGCGAGCAGGCGGCCCCCCGCGCCTGCCCGGGAACTGGGAGCCGCTCACTGCGGAGCCCCACGGCAGCGCTGCTGCAGCGCCGTCCACACAGCGAGGCCGCGGAGGCAGGCTGCGGCGCGAGCACCGGGAGGGCGGCCCGCCGTGCGAGATGCGCCCTGGCCACGGGCAGCGCAGCGGAGGGACCGCGGCCACGCGCGAGGCACCGGAGTCCGGGGAGAGACAAACCCTGGTCTCGCCCCGCGCCGCCCTCGCGTCCGTCACCAGCTTACGCGACATGCTGGAGGCTACGACGCTCTCGGGAAAGTCAGACCAGGCTGGCGGCTCCGGGATGCGCCAGCAGCGCCCACAGCCCACCGCCGCCCGCCCGAGTCTGCAGAGCCGCGCCGGGAGGCTCGGCCCCACCAGGGAGCTGGGCTGAGCCCGAGGCCCGCCACAGAGTCGGCTCCCAGCCCGCACCGGACACGCGTCCGAGCCGAGCTCCGGCGCAGCGCCCACCCGGGCACCCCGCTGGCTCCCAGCGCCACACCGAGGCCCAGAGGGCCGTGGGCTCGAGGCAGCGTGACGCGCCGTGAGGAGCAGAGGCGGCGGGGACGGCGGTCACGCGGGTGGCCCCTCGGCCAGGCCACGCCTGTCCAGCCCGGCCCAGCGCAGTGGGTAGGGCCGGCCGCCCTCCTTCTCCC